CCATACTTGAAATAGATCCATCATGTGGATTTTGCTTGTATTCCCTCAGGTGGAAAAGAAAAAGAATCACAGAAACATAAAAAAATAAATAATAACTTATAAAATATTGTAGTCCTCTCAGCGAGGATAAGAAATATCATGATAAAACCAGGAAACTACAACAGCCATCATGTCTGGCAAGAAAGCAAGAGACTGGTATCAATAAATCCACAGCACTCCTCAGTTCAAATACTGTATGCATAAAAATAGTGGAAAATGATCTAGTGCTTAAGGCACCAGGCTAGAAAGAAGGAGACTGTGAGTTCAAGTGCTGCTTTAGCCAGGAAAGCCAGCTGGGTGACTATGGACCAGCCACTCTCTCTCTCTCTCTCTCAATCCAGCCCACCTCACAGTGTTGTTGTTGTGGGAAAAATAGGAGAAAGAATGTATGTTGGATAGGTTCACCACCTTGAGTTATTTGTAAAAATAATAAAGGTGGGATACAAATAAATAATGGCGCTAGCACTACCAATAGCACTAGACTTATACATAGTGCTTTACAGCTCTCTCTGAGCAGTTTACAAAGTCCGCATATTGCCCCCAACAATTTGGATCATTTTACTAATCTCCGAAGGATGAGCCTGTCAAAATCGAATTCCTGGCGGTCAGCAGCGTCAGCCTGCAATACTACTGCATTCTTACCACTGTGCCACCACGGCTCTTACTTATTTTTTCAAAAATGTGAATATAAAATAAAAAATCTCAATACCAAATCCTTTGCCTACCTGAGTTATTCAAAATTTGTGCTGTGCATCAGCCATTGGTTCTTTCTGCAAGTTTGTTTGTGAACAGATTCTTTTCTTCTGGACTTTGGCTGTCATTTGTCAGTCTTGACATGAGCTAAAATAGAGAGGATGAACTTTGATGAACAAGCATTTACCATGATAGAGCAGGTTAGTTCCAGTATTCCCTCCAACTGGCTGAATGTTGGCTACAAGGTCCTCGCCCACATTGACTTCCATATGCAAGTAATGCCTTCCCTGTATTTAACTGAAAGAAAGAAGCTTAAATTCAGTAAATAAACAAATTTTGCACAGCATTTTTACCCAGTGTAAAATACAAACTTTTCAGTTTAAATACCTCTCCAAAATATAACTTTTTAGAAATATGGTAACTCTAAAATATTTAATTTGGGTTCCCCTGGTCACCATCTACTTAATACTTAATATATCATTAAATGCTCTAGAAGACTCTGACTTAAGCAGCTGTTCCCAATGCTGCTAACAGACTTACTTATTATAGACCTTCCCAAGTGAAAAAAAAGTCATTTAAATGTTCACCCATTTTCCTTAGAGCAGTGGTTCTCAACCTTTTTAATGCCGTGACCCCCAACCGGTCGTAAGTCGAGGACTACTCAACCGGTCGTAAGTGGTGCAGCACCGTTTGCAGAATAGGACTTTTGGCGGGCTCAGCAGGGCAGAGACAGCCTGGACAATTCCTATTGGCTTTTGAAAGCCAATAGAATTAGACTCTATTCAAGAGAGTCTATTCTATTGGCTTTCAAAAGCCAGTAGAATAAAAGGGAGTAGCACAGCTAAGGAAAAGGGGGAAAAAATGGCAAACTTTAATCTGTTATTGAGTTTTTTAAAAACACAATTGTTTTGTGCAAAATTATTAAGAAACTGCAAATACAGAAGCATAGCATAAAAGCAATAGCCATCCTTTTTTTTGTATTTGTTTGTAGACTTCAATTAACAAAATCATCCTAAATAGCTGGGATTCTGCATTTAGGTAGGAAAAGCAGATGCACAATTATAGGATTAGTGGATTCCTGGCTTTACGATTGTATATGTAAAAAGCCACTCTCTTCACAGACCATAAGCAAATCATGAGTTAGAAATGGGATGACAATTAAATTCTCTGTAAGCTGCCAAGAGTATAACTCACAGAGACCCACACCTTAATGCAGGCATGTGAAACTCATGACATCACGTGATGTCGCATGACGTATTGTGACTTTTTCCCCATTGCTGGAATTGGGTGGGCACGGTTTCAGTATGACACATCGGGCCCGTGGGCTGGTAGTTTGACATGCCTGCCTTAATGTACTCACTAATAAATGAAGTTGTGGGTACTTCAACACTGGAAGTTTTTAAGAAGAGATTGGATAACCATTTGTCTGAAATGGTATAGGGTTTCCCACCTGAGCAGGGGGTTGGACTAGAAGACCTCCAAGGTCCCTTCCAACTCTGTTATTCTATTATTCTGAAGGCTGGAGTATATCAAATTTAATTCCCAATATTCTGTAATTTTCTTTTACCTGGCATTGTCTGATTAATGAGACTTTATGCATTGCTCTAATTTACATTAGTTATAGGCTGCTGTTAAGGACTGAAACATCTAGATTCTGGCAGAAAAAGTATTCTATCCAAGTAGCAATAAAATCCTTGCTTTGTTCCACTGTCACCTGAACTATTCTTTCAATAATTTAAGGATTCTATATCAAAAAATGCGGTATGAGATTGACAAAGAAGATAAGAGAGTGGGAGACCAAGTGACACAAAGGAATTGGATACATTTATCTTGGAGAAAGACAGTGAAGAATTGACACTGTCTTCTAAAATCAGGCAATGTCTGTTACTTGGGATAAAAAAAAAAAATCAGAATCAGCAAGTTCAAATTATAAGGAATTGTTCTGATCCCTTCTTCTGCATCTAAAAGGCTATCTACTCTTGCATGAATTTCCCACACATGTAAAAAAAAAACAATCATACAGCTCTACTACACATTCCCAGTGTTGAAAAAACATTTTCAGGGTCCAGTCCAAGCTGGGAATAAACAAAATGGAGACTGCTTTAGAAAGAAGGTTCTAGTTTATTGAAGAGCAGAACCACAACAGCATGTGACTTTGGACCACATGTTGCTTGGAGTGGTGGGTTTTTATACCTTCTTGGGCTTTTGTTTTTGGAGTTGTTCCTGTGGCATGAACTTTGATCTGAGGTTCAGTGTGCCCTTCTGGTATTCTAATGGTGGTCGGTTAATCCTATTATGTCCTAAAGGTCATGCCCTGCTTCCCTGGAGCTATGGCTGATGGCTATGTCCTGTGTTGGATTTTTTGGGGTGAGGGGTTGTTGGTTCTGGAGATCTTTGTATTTCCAATCCCATCAGCTCTAAACTTCTCAACTCCAACCTTTCTGAAAGGATTATCAAATCTGCATTTCTACAGACCTGGCCTCTGCTTGGAGCAGAGAAATTTGGGGGGTGGGGTTTCTACCTAAGATTTTCTATTATTCCTTTGGGGAAATATATTCTGCTTTTTTTAATATCTCCTAAAATATTTCTTTCTCTGGGGTGGGGGTGCCATCTTCCTATTGCCAGTAAAGCCAATTTTGCATAAGGGGGCTTTTCGGTGGCCTCTGCCACATTTGTAGAATCCTTAACCCAAGAAATTCTTCAGTTCCCTGTTTTAAGGCAATGCTGAAAACTTTTCAGGAGGAAGGGATACCTTCAACTCAGTGTTGGCTCCTGATAACTGCCTGTATAAACCCTGAAATCCGATTGGTATAGTTTTTCAAAAGCAGCTTGCCATTGGCTCCTTCATGGGACTGACAGTATGCAACTGCCTCAAGATCTCCAGCTGGCTTTGGCCTAAGTCAGGACTAGATTCCCTCACAGATTCCCTGTTTCTAGCCTGGTGTCTTAACCATTGCACCAGACTGGCTCTCCTGGATTGAATTGATTTTATCACCTTTCTGGTTAATATTTTAAAAGTTTTAGACATCTACATTGCATTTTGTTTACCTTATCCTGGTATTAAATGCATACTATATTTTAAATTGTGTGTTGTTTGAATTTGCTTTTTTAAATGCTTTTTAAAACAAAAAGACAAAGTATGTTTCAAGAGGTGAAATAAAAAACCTGTGATTAATTACTCTTCTCCAACTCATAGCAATACTTTGCCTTCCTTTTGTATCTAAGTCTCAGTTCTTAACACTAGGAAAATAGAGACAGGGGATGAGACAAACAGCTGGTCTTTGGACCAAAATACAAAGAAAATATAAAGAGCTCTACAAACTATAGGTTTCCAGAACAGTATCAACTTCAACTGAGAGGTATGTTTTGTACAAACAGTGAAAGAGTCAGAGTTCTGCCTAAAATGCTGGCTTTAGTGGTAAAATGTTATGCCAGAACTTAGTGATTATGTTTCCAGGCTAAATTCCAAATGTTTGCAATGTGTTCTGTTTGCATCAGTATTTAAAAATTAATATGAAAGCTGCTGAGTTGTCATTAGAGCTTTGGCTAGAGGTTTAAACCATTAACTGTCTATGTTTTCACCTGTAGTAGAAGTAGAGAGTTGAAACTGAAATAATGAGAGACTGTATACAGGAGTGGGTTGGATTTAAAATAGTAGATGAGCACACTCTGTGTGACTATGGGATGTATTTGCTGTTTACAAGGCCCAGGTGTGTGTCGTAAGTTGTAATTATCCTTGCTTTTAATTTTTCCCCTCCAGGGAAATGATCTTATAAGCAACACTTTAACCCTTTCTTATCACGAAAGACTTTTCTAACAATACTGACAAAGACGAATATCAGGTTTTTTTTCCTCCTGTTTTTGCTTTTTCCCATATTCTCTGCCCCCCACCACCACCGCCAACAATCCTGGCCCCTTTTTTCCAGCACCAAGGAAGCAAAAGGAGCAGAGCTTCTCTACATGTTCATTGCACACAGCAAGCCTGATGGGATTTCCCTTTGTGTTGTCAAATGTCAGCAACCACTATGACACAGTTCATTGTATTTGTTTGCTCTATAAATCATTCAGTTATGAAGGTTGAAAGAAATTCTGTACGCCTTTCATCATTTTCTGCAAATAGTTAACCATGTGTTCCTCATTTGTTACTTGGGGAAGCATTTTTCTTGTACTGGGTAGCATGTAATGTGTGAACTCAGACACTAGTAGGAGTTGTATTTGCTTTCAGGCTAGAATTGTTTTTCAGCTCCTGTTATGCATTTGTGTTTCAGACATTCCCTATCTGTGACCATGACTTTATCAGTTGACTCAACTGTGTACTGTTGGCAACGGCCAAAAGAAGAAACTTCACAGCTGGAATCAACACCTCTCTTATCCTCTGACAAACCGAGGCAGAAACAGAAACACAACTGGGACAGTTGGAGGGTTGTCTTTCCTAGTAATGCCAGATTTCAAAAGGAGTTGGAAAAAGTCTTGAAGACATATTGCAAAAATAGGATACGAACAACAAAATACACTTTGCTGAGCTTTTTACCTCAAAATCTCTTTGAACAATTTCACAGGTATGAAAATGCACCACTGCTACCATAAGAAAACCAAAATGATCATTATTTTTATATCTGTTTTCAGTAAATGGAAGAAAAGTATTCAGAAAAATACAAAAAAGCACAGAATGCCTTTAGAGAGATTAAGAATCAGATATTGTTGCAGATTCCAAACATCTCCTTTCTATCGTCATCAGAAGTTTTCCATTACTATATATGTCAGGAACGGGCAACACAGCATTGGCACACACAATGTTATACATCAGAGTTTCACAGCCTTGGCAAGCTTAAGACATGTGGACTTCGCCTCCCAGTATTCCTCAGTTAGCATACCGAGACTTAGAAACACTAGTGTATATGATTTTCCTACATAGCACCAAACATTAAAATAAAATTATTTCTTTATTTTAAAATGACCAAAATCTTATGAGATTTTGAGTGACAGTGCCAAAACCTTGAAAGATTTAATCTAAATTTTTGCCTATATATAGTATCTCTACTACAGATCTCATTCACAACAGATATTCAGTGAACTTTAAATTAAAAGTGGGAATGATTTATACAGTGTATAAATACTCTATATTAGAGTGCAGAGCAGAGCAACAAAGATGTTTAGGGGACCGGAGGCTAAAACATGTGAAGAATGGTTGCAGGAATTGGGTATGTCTAGTTTTAATGAAAAGAAGGACTAGGGGGTAACACGATAGCAATGTTCCATTATTTAAGGGGCTGCCATAAGAGGGTGTCAATCTATTTGGAAACTTATCAAGGAGAGAACCAACCAAGGTCTAAGGAGAAAATTCCTGGCAGTTAGAACAATTAATCAGTGGAACAAGTTACTTCCAGAAGTTGTGGATGCTCCATCACTAGAGATTTTTAAGAAGAGATTGGACAACAATTTGTCTGAAATGGTATAGGTTCTCCTGCTTGAACAGGGGGTTGAACAAGAAGACCTCCAAGGTCCCTTCCTGTTATTCTGTTCTGTTCAGTATATTAGAGTGGAATCTAATACTTCTTTTTGGCATCATCTGTGGATGTGGGAAGGAAATTTGCCCCCTCCCCTCCACACACACATACACACACAACCCTATAAATCTGTTTTTAAAAAGTCAGAAGAATCTCCAGAGCTCATGGGGAAGACTACAGAAGGGAAGGGAAGGATTGGATCTAAGTCCCATTGTGCAACAGGAAGTCACACAGGCAACATTAAATTCCATATTTAGATAAGGATGATTACTTATAAAATGAATAATAAGGGACAGTCCAATAGCTTTTTAAACAATAGCTCCTTTAGTATGACAATAGATTGTGATGTGTGTCAAACGTTGCCTAATTCTAATGTGTTGGGAGAGGCTTGGTGACTCATTGGGAGCTATAAATAACACTTCTTTAAGTAAGGAGATGCTACAGATCTTCAGGAAGCTATTCTAAGCACCCTTTAGAAGAAGAAGCTTTAATTAAACTCATCTGACCTGAGAAATTATAGACCAGTCTTGAATAGCCCTGTGACAGCAACTGGGTCATGACAAAGCGGCTATACATTTTCTCTGTTAGAATGGATCATCCAAAACAATTTAAAACCATCCCAAGGCCTATTTGGGAAATTGAAGTTGAAGCCATGAGATAATCTACAGTTCTGCTTGTGGCTCTCAAAAGTCTGTAGGTCATTTATGTGGCTTTAATCTGCGCATATTTTTACATTTGGGCGTAAATGTTCTTCATACTGTGAAGAGAAATAACAGAATAGTTGGGGGTTAGGGTTGGATCAAGAAAGAAACAGGGAAGCAAAAAGTTAAAGCTACCTCTGGGATGTTAATCCAAATTAGTGAAGCCATGATACTAGGATATTTTTAAAAAAAAAAAAAAAAAAAAGAACTCCATATTCCAGTGGTCCCCAACCTTTCTGGCACCAGGGACCAGTTTCATGAAACACAATTCTTCCATGGACCAGGAGGTGGTGGTTTCACATACAATCTAGATCCCTTGCATGCACAGATGAAACTTCTCTCATTCACCTGCCGCTTCCATGGCCCAGTTCCCAACAGACCACAGACTGGTACCAATCTGTGGCCCAAGGGTTGGGGAACCCTACTGTACACCATCTTGCTTATTTCAAACCTTCCCACATAAATGGTACAGCTGGCTTGCCACTGTGCCACAGACTAACTCATCACATTTTAGTCTAATATTTTATGCAAAATCACCCTGCATACTTCATGTGGTTCAGTGCATAATAGAAACATGAAAAATTAAATTAATTTGGTAAACCATGGAACATGCATTGCATAAACACAGTTTGTGGGCAGAGTTAACTTTAGCCACTAAAGCAAACGAAAGAATAAGGGTTTGTTTGTTAATTTGTTTGATTGTTTACTAATTATGTCTGACCTAGAAATCATTGCCTCAGTAAGCTCAATAAGAAAAATGATAAATGTAACAACTCCATTAATGATTCTATCTTTTTAGGTTGGCCAACGTCTACGTCCTCCTCTTGGTGGTCATCAACTGGTTCCCACAACTGGAAGTTTTTCATAAGAATATCACAATGATACCTTTAGTTGCTATGCTTTTAGCTATAGCAGTTAAGGATGGCATTGAAGATTATAAAAGATACAAACTGGATCAGCAGATCAATTCTTCTAAAACAAAGGCATACAATAAGTAAGTCTATAAATGTGTAGTTACATTATTTCTCCTGATATCCCCATCCCATCCCGCATATTGATATAAGCAATAAATTTTGAGAATACAATGTGTGGCAGAAGATAATTTTATCTTTATAATATTGCTACAAATCTGTTAGTTCGTTCAATTTCCTGTTAAAAATTGTATCTCAAACATCAATTATGACAATTGTCACAAAATTCAATCCTACTGTTATGCCATAGTTATTTGGATTTCTACAGAACTATGATTTATTTCACATAAGCAATCATGTAATATGCCTGGTTTTAGCATACTGGTTTCTACAAACCATGATTTGCAACCAAAGTGATTTCTTTAATAATCCATAGTTAAAGCATGGTTTAAGGTGAAGCTATTCTACAGGTATTGCTCCTAGTGCACATAGAATATATCTCCACTCCTTTGGACATTGCTTTGAATAATATTTTGACAGTGCAGATAGCTGGAGATGCAAGCATTTTGGGGAATGGCATACAAGCTATGGAAAACAGTGTAATTTCCATGCAGAGAAATGTGACTGCTTGAAGTTGTTGTTTTAAATTTCAAGTATTTATAATTCTGCATAGAATTATAAAGGCCATATAATCCATACTAACACATATCTGAGATTCAAGTAGGAGACCACTGAACTTCTGTCTTCTATTTTATACTGTTCAGAATGTTTCAGTGTTATTGTACAGCCAAGGAAAAAATCCAGATCGGCAGCAAAGCAGGCACTAGGACCCAGAATTACTCTTTTTGATGGCAGCAAAACTGGTTTGCTGAAGGATGACACCTCTGTGTTTCAACAGGTGTTGACTAAAGCAAGCAAAAGAAATTGGCTCAATTAAATGCAGCCTGACACTTCACCCTGGAACAAACCGACTGGAATATAGTTTGTATTTAATTCTTTAAGTGTAGCTTTAAAGGGGAAGGAAGATGTCAAGGAAATGTGCTCAATAACATTCCTATGGGATATACTTTGGTTCAGAAGACCGTGCTGCCAGAGTGTTGTCTCAGAGTCTGAGAGTGTGGAATCTGTGACGAGAAGGAAAAGGGAAAAGAATGAAGAAACTAAACGAGTTGTGCTGTCGAACTTGCCCTTTGAAGCCAAGTGGAAAGAAAATCCAAATAGACGTCATGCAGGCAACAAAATCAAGACCACCCGATACACATTCTTGTCTTTTATCCCTAAAAATATTGTTGAACAGTTTCACCGCTTTGCCAACGTATATTTTGTGGCCATCGTTGTTCTTAATTTTGTGCCAGTAGTAAGTGTTTTTGAGCCAGGAATATCTGTGTTGCCCATCTGTGTTATAATGGCCATCACTGCTCTTAAAGATGCTTGGGAAGACTTCCGGAGATACAAGCTGGACAAGGAGATCAATAGCATGTGCTGCCTAGTATACAACAGGTAAATACATTCTGGGATGCAATTTGGGGATGTATCAGAAGCAACTTTAATGAGCCTTCAAATATTATCTAATATTACTACTAAGTAACATAAGGCTTAAATAATTTAGCTAAGTCCTTGAAAACAATATTTCAATATTGCAAAAGAGAGTGAGATTTTCTTTATCAACCCCAGCAGGTCACTTTCTCCTGCTTCTTTCTCTGTTCAAAACTAAACTTATGTGACATATCATAGAGATGTGGTGCTCATTGCAAAGGCAATAGCCATAGTTTATGATTTTGGTAATTTTAATTTTGATCCTTTCTAAATGTTTCCCAACTTGTTTTGTTTTTGTTCTGTTTTTTTTTTCACAGTTGTCATATTACATGACAATCCTTTCCTATAGCTAGTCAGAACCTATAAAATCAGAACAGTGAGCAAAATATGTGCAGAGTTTCTATAATACTTTGAGGAGTCCATCTCTTGGTTTTTGAAAATGATATCCGTGTTGCTATCATCGTTTACTGAACTTTAAATTTCAAGTTTTGATAATCATGTTTCTTTTCTTACAACCATTATAAAGATAATATTTAACCTATAGTTTTTGTTACTATTTAGTTTATTATTATATTTCTGTTCGTAGTTTCTTGGTCTAAAGGAGAACTATTCAGTAATCTTTTGGGTTAAAAATGTGCATAGCCCAGTTCAGATACTACAGTCAAACCACAAAGCCAACCATCAGAGCTATCCCTAAGGCCTTAGAGTTTCTTTCTCCTCCTTCCTTCTTCCTTCTGGTATTACAATTCCTTCCCTTGCTTACTTGGTCACCATACTTTGTCACCCACACAAAATAAGAATTATTAAAGCAGGATATAGAGATGATATAGAGATGAGAGAGATATGGGGCAAAACTCAGGTTAACACGTCTTCCTTGTTTAGAAACTCGGGAATAAAGTACAGATAGTAATAAAACACTCTTTTTCTATTCCTAAGAGCACTAAGTTTTATTGCTATCTGTACTTTATTCCTGAGTTTCCAAACAAGGAAGAAGTGTTAATCTGAGTTTTGCCCCATATCTCTCTCATCTCTATATCCTGCTTTAATTTTAGATTAACTCACTGAATTCCAAATCGTCTCCTAAACTTTCCAGTCTCAAACTGTAGCATAAATATACCACAGGATTGTCATTCTGGCTAATAGGCCAATGTCTAATATATTTTAGGAAGGATGGAAAGGCTTTTCCATGGGCATTTACCATAAAGGCTTTATTTCTTTGCCAGGTTAGACTATCCAAACTGTGGCTTGTCATGATGTCCAGCTATGGGGGGAACATTTTTTGTTACTATTTGTCATCCAAACAGCAAGTTGGCACCAGTATGGAACATAATTTCAGACAAAAGTCTAAAGAATGATAGTGTACAGGTGTATATTTGAATACCATACTATTGGACAAGATCTCTGCTTCCTTGACATGTAAGAGAAGAGTAAAACAAACATTTTCTTCAGCAGCAACAAATTTTGACGATTCCCCTTACTCTGAATTGCCTCAGGGCTCTGACCTAAACTCAAAATTAGAGGAAGCTGAGTTAGTAGATAGGAACTGCCTTCCCTAAGGCAAGTGACAAATTTTGGCTAATTGGACAGGGGCACTTAATTTACCTCCTGATGTCACTTAGAGCTTTCCATATCTCACTTGGTATTTTCCATATGGTTGTCCTTCAACATTCCCTTGGAGATATGTGCTATAGCAGTGGTTCTCAACCTTTCTAATGTCGCAACCCCATAATACAGTTCCCCATGTTGTGATGACCCCCAACCACTTATACATCACTGGGTGCCAGGGGCATGGCCAAAAAAAGGGGGGGGAAATGGCGGACAGCCTTGTTTGGCGACCCCCGTGAAATGGTCGTTCGACCCCAAATGGGGTCCCAACCCACAGGTTGGGAACCACTGTGCTATAGGTATATCAGAACACTTTAATTGCCTTGATATATCAGAACACCTTGAATATAGAAAATTGCCTTTTTTTCTGGTGACAAATTAAAAAAATAATAATTATATCGGCTACAAGGAAAACTTGTGATTAAAAAGTTGAAAGATTGTAAAATGGATGAGATCCTTTATCATTGTTTTTAGCAGTACTCTTCTATCAGGTTTTCTATCAGGTTTAAAGATATTGATAACAAACTGTGCTTCCCATAGCTTGACTACTTTACATACATATTCACATAACCTGGATCTGTCTGGATACAAGAATTTTTCACACACTGCTACAATATTATGAACTGGGATCCACAGAATGCCAGTTGGATTCATCTTACATAAGATTTCTTAAATTGAAGGGTTCCTGCCAGATGCGTCTAATGAAAGCTCTTCCATAACCTTCTTAACATTATTTCATCACTGCTTTTATAAAAAGAAAGTTTATTTTAGTTTTGCTCTTAGTCATTCTTCCTTATATGCAAAAAAAAACCTGAAGGCCAACATCAGGGCACCAAATGAGGAAAAATTTTGTTTTGTTTTATTTTATTTATTTATTATTGATTAAATTTTATGCTGCCCTCGTAAAGTGACTGGTTTCTCACTATTTATGTCTAACACTGTGAAGTACTTCGGCTTATTTTACACAGTTGCAGCTAGTTCCTAAACCAGAGCCTTTAATGTTTAAGACAAATCTTCACAGGCTATTGTGAGATTTCTCTTAGAAAAGCTTGTCCTAATATATGCTCATCTTCAAGCTTAATCTTACATGGAATTGCTTTGCATAATGTTATTAATGTACATGCTGCAACACTGAAATAACTCCGAGCAATGAATTAATGGAGGTACAATATTTATCAGGGAGACAGGCTCTTGCTTCTTCTTGCCAAAACTTTACTTTACGTGCAATTCCATTACTGGAAAAGCTAGGTGCATCTTCGGTCATTGCCTGTACCACACCTTCTGGTTCCAGTGCTTGGTGTAATGCAGGTTTCGAGAAAGGTGTTCTCCCAATAGAAAATGAATGTTTGAATGTACATGTCTATAAAAAAATTCTTCCACATCTAAGCATGTGATTAAACTGTTCCTGAAGACATCCCATTCATTTTGAACATTGATTTTGTTCATTATAAAGAAAAAAGGAATGCTAGCAACACCTATGCAGTAGTTCTTCAGAGTGTTGGTACTATTAGGCTGTATTTAAATTGCTTTCACAAATTCCTACCGGTTGTGCTTTTCAGTCACAACCTGGGAGAAGGAGAAAAAGGGTTTAGTGCTAATTGGCAATCTTTTGCCACATGTCCTAACAAAGCAAGACTGCAAGAAATATAAAGAAAATCAGCCTAATATGATCTGTACTTTCTAAAAGATCAGTTCTTTTTGGGAAGAAGAAAAGGGGAGTCATTCATTTGGATCTGATTGGACTTGGGCAAAATGTATTGAACCAGAGGTAGATCCAACCCTGCTTCATAAGTAGAGGTTGGGAAAAATCAAATTATGGATATAAAATATAAGGGCTCCACCCACCCCAAAATCAGAACTACTCTATAGGCAATAACCAACTTCATTTTCTATTAAACATTCCTAACTTTGGGACAGACACTGTGAATTTCCTGGAAACACAAGAAACAAAATTAAAGAGTTCTAAAATGAAAACCATGGCTTAGTTCTCTACGCTATCTACCTCTATATCCAACAAAACTCAAAATAATTTGCAAGGATTTGGTGGCTTTAAAGTGAATCAGTATTGTTCTATGGTGTAGTGTAATAGTAACCACTACCAACAACAGCATGTAAAGAGTTTTATGCAAACCTCATTGTAGGAGGACAGCACCCCCCCCCCCAGAGAAAGAAATATTTTGTAGAATATTAAAAAGGCAGAATATATTTCCCCAAAGGATCTTAAAGGCAGAAAAGCAAGCCTAGTTTTTCTTAAATAGCCCCAAGCAGAAACTAGGCAGTGGCCAGCTTTTAGAAATGCAGATGTGATAATCCTTTCAGAAAGATTGGAGCCAGAAAGCTAGAAGCTGGTGAGATTAGGAAGACAAAGACCCCTAAAATCTACATGCCCCACTCAAACTTTAAAAGACATGACCTTTAGGACATAATAATATTAACCCATCAATACCAAAAAGAACACACTCAAAAGCTCAGGTCAAAGTACATGACACAGGAAATACAAAGCCTCAAGCAGGAAAAACTCCAAACACAAAAGCCCAAAAAGTTTTAAAAACCCACCACTCCCAGCTACATGTGATCAGCTTTCCCAGAGCCACGCTTCTGAAACCTCATGTTGAAATGTATAAATCAAACTAAAGATAATATGATTGTATTTGATCTTAATATATAGTATACTCTCTGAACTCAGCCACTGTTGCTTAATGGTGTGGTCTATGGCTTCATGAATTGTGCAATCCAGATCAATTGTTCCTTTCCCTGAGAGAGGGAAGTAATGAGGGATGTTGAATTCATGAGAACTCAGGGGCAAGGCTGCATTCCTTAAAAATCATTTTAATCTGGCCGTCTTTTTAAATCATACTGGTTGCCCTGGATTGGAGAAGATTTTGGAATTGCAATTTTTTTTCTAATAGAGTATTGGAGAATTAGAAGCTAGAGCAGTAAATTCCAGTTCCATTCTTATATAATAGACTGCTTCCAGACTTTTGCTCTGTTGGCCTGAAAATGTCATTTGGGAGTCAATATACAGTTAGGGTGCTATTAGATTTAGTCTTCTCTCAGAATGTCAATTATGAGCATGAATCATACTTTGTTATCTTAGATGGAAGAACCTCTTCAGTCACAGAACTAGCCCAGTGATCATCATTTCTGCCTTGGAAAAAACTGTTTTAGATTACCATGATGCACAGTAGATGGGGCTTCTCTTGAAAGAATTGGGAGGTTTCAGATACTAATGACATGACCTCTAGATTGTTTGCTACCACATGAATCTACCTTGTCTTTAACCTCTTTGGTTACTTGTGGTCTCCCAAATACAATTGTAGGTACTGGTGTAAAAAAGCTCTGTACAACCTGTGAACAGAGTTCTTTGTCTCTTCTATCATAACGAGTGAAAAGCTTTTCCCCAAGTGTTCTTTTCCTTATAAATACTCACATGCCATCAATTCGTTAGTTGCCCTAGTTGTAGAAAGCCATCTTAAAGAATATTTACTTGCTACCTGGCACACTTAGTTTAAAATCCTACTTTCAATTAATCTGCTCAGGGTTTTTTGTAAACTGTCAAAAGATTACATCCAGAATATATCAGTACACCATATGTATTTCCTAGTTGATGGATTCAGGGCCATAACAATAGCATTTAGATTTATATATTGTCCCAGAATGCTTTACAACATTCTCTGGACAGTTTACAATATTAGCATTATTTGCATATCTAATCATTACTGTCCTTTTATATGGCAATAAATGCTGTATGCGGCCAGGCATGATTATGACTAGTTATTTTTTTCCTTCTCTTATTAAAAAGCACCATGTGAAAGTCTCAAGTAACCGAGGCCATGATGACCAGCAAAGGCCAATAACTATGAGTCTATGTGATGTCATGGCATATGAAAGTTTGAGACTTTGTAACATTACAATCTCAACTTTTTACTTTTACACATTAGTATATATTTGTTATATATAACAACAAATCTATCTAATTGGCAAAACCAAAGTTAAAATTTCATTTTTTTTCATCACAAGCACAAAATCCAGAAGTGATATCCAAATAAAAAACATAAATATATTCTCCTCTTTGAATAGAATAATCAGTTTAACTATTACTGCTTTATCCTTCTTGCTGTTGAAATAATGTGTATTTCTATTTGCACTTAATAACCTTTATAAACTATCACCATTTATATTAACAAAATTCATTGTTTTCTTTCAAATTCTTTAACCTTTAACAATAAAAGTTATATACTAAGGAAAGTTTGTGACTTGGAATGTAAGAGGACTGAATATCAAAGTGTATGAATTAACAAATGAAATAAAAGAATATTGTCTGTACACAGTGTGAAACTAAAAGTGAGGGGAAAGATGTAATAGATCCAAGTAAAGATTGAATGACTTTTATTGAAATTGAGTTGATTTATACATGAATGGAGCAAGAGCAGGCTTAATTAGGAATGAAAGTGCTAAAATATATTAATTGCTGTGGATTGCATATAAAAATAGGAATCCATAGAATGGTGACAGTTGCAAATTAAACTCCAGTGAATGGTGATTATAGAAGAACTGGAGAACAGTCTCTTGAGAAAATAATTCAGCATTCTGAATGAATGTTATCTGAATGAAAACATTATTCTGTTAGGTGACATAAATAGCTGGTAGGAATGAGAGTGCAAATAACGTGACTGGGCCTTTCAGAAACCCAAGAAAGAATGAGAATGCTGATCTATGGTTACCTTTTTTTAAAAAAAAAATGCCTGTTTTAAGCATAAAAAGATTCATACATATGCATGTTAAAAGAATAAATGTAAATCTAAAAGCATGACCTGTGGTTCGAAAAATGAAGTTTTCTTGAGAGAGATGAGCAAAAAGTACTGGGAGTGTATGCCAGTGTATTCTTCAGATGGAGTCAATCAAATAAAGAAACTCATCCCAACAGCCCACTAAAACAAGCAAACACCACTATCAGATAACAGCAATATTACTGGAATTGGATGGTCACTTGAATGACAACAGCAAAGTCAAGAGCAAACAATTCTCATATTTTATTCAAAAAAAACCCTCCCCCAAACTGGATAAAACAAGAAAAAGTGAAGATGATATAGAGTTGGATGGTGTCGATGTAACTAGGAATCTTGCTGATGGTGGACCAATGAAGAACAAAGAAAATCGAAAGCTGGAAAGAGAGAATTCGATGGAAAACTAGAAACATGGGTTATAAGAAGGTGGAGAGAAAAAGAGAAAGAAACAAAAAAATATAACGGGTACAAAAGAGGATGTAGGACAGTGATGACAAAACTTTTAGAGACTGAGTGCCCAAACTGCAATCCAACACCCACTTATTTATTGCTGGGTGCCAGGTGGGCATGGCCCACTGGGTGGGCATGGCTGTGGTGATCATGGCAGACTAGGTGGGTGTGGCCAAGGTGGGCCTGGTCACCTCGATGTTGCTCATGGAGAGGGACGCCTGTGGGGGCCGGGCAGGTTGGGGGAGATCCAGGGGGTCTCTGGCAGGTGGGGTGGTGGGTAGGAGGCTCGTCCTGTGGGTTGAGGCAAGGCAGGGTGGGGGTGACATTATCTCAAGGCAAGGCAAGGCAGGGGCTGGGGCAGCTGCTGCCTGACACCATCAGCCCCTGCACACATAGTCCAGAGAGTGCATGGGGGCCAACAGTGTCCATCAGCAGCCACAGCCTGACGGTCCCTCAACTGGCGCACTCTGGGGCTCCGCAGCCCGCCACCAGCAGTTCAGAGAAGTGCCCACAGAGAGGGCTCTGAGTGCCACCTCTGGCACGCGTGCCATAGGATCGCCACCACTGATGTAGGAGTTCTGTTGAAAAAGCATTAGAAAATAAACTGAATAAATGGCCAGTGGACATAAAGAAAAAAGTCATTTGAAACAGAGTGAAAAATAATGTGTTACACATTATCATGGAAGGGTATGAAATTATGATAGTGGGAAGGATGAAAAAAAATCTGTGATGAAAAGGTAACATGAAAAAGCCTGTGGGTAAGGAAAAATCCATGTAAGGGAATGATTGCTGCAAAAAATAAAGATAAATATAGTACAAATATAGAGAAGACTGAAGTGGGCGGCTATAACAAATCTAAATAAGTAATGTGGGTACACTCTTCGGTGTTAACAATAACTTAAGAGTGTTAGAGGATGCTAATGTGTTTTGACTGCATTTCTGAAAACAAAATCCATTTCATTTTATATACTGCCGTCCTACAGCTTTAAACAAGCCAATTTTTTTTTGCAATAACTCAAATGATTTTTAAAAAAATCTTTATTAGCAATCATCTTTTCTAAGATGTTAATACTCTGTTGACCTAAGGAAAAAAGATGTACCTGAAATTTTAGACCATTATATGACAATATAGATTAAATAAGCAATTTTTGTATATTTGTCCTTCTCCTTAAAAACTTGTTGATAGCTTATTGATCCACTTGAACTTAAATATATGAACCTAAGGGAATCCCTCTGAGTACATATATCAATGATATAATATCAACTTTCACAACATCTGGTTGCTGTGAAAGTTGATACAGTTCACTTTCTGTATTTATCTTAGCAATTGTTTTTTTTAATTTATTTTAAGATTCTTTTTCCAGAGTCACCTGTTGAGATAGAAAGCCATGCAGATTGAATGAATGAACAAATGAATGAATGAATTTGCTTTCTCCATAAATCCACTTACATTTTAAAAAAATGTCTTTGAACAAAATGCTTTCCTGTGCCCTAAGGAAAAGAAGTGCTCTGTGCCTTGATGGGGCAGTCACAGATTGTTAACTGATGGTGCATCTTCTCATAACAGGAGCCGAAACACCTACATTGAGAAGTGCTGGAAAGATGTTCAAGTGGGAGACTTTGTGCAGCTGCAATGCAATGAGGTCATTCCTGCTGATATTCTACTGTTATACTCCTCTGATCAGAACAGGATCTGTTACTTGGAGACAGCAAATCTTGATGGTGAAACCAACCTTAAACAAAGACAAGTTGTGAAAGGCTTCTCCCATCAGGTAAACAACTTTCCTCTCTTTCCTTGGTAGAGGAGAAGTGATGGAAGGGTACAGTTGGGCCCTGGCTTCACATATTTGAAACCTTTGATTATTTCAGTCAAGATTAGGAAAGTAAATCATTAAACCTAACCCTCCCCATCTTCTTTCTCCTCTTCATTTGGAGCAGTTTTCTAAGCCACTGATTTTTAATACTGACATAGAGTGCCGCAAGATAGGATCACAAGACTAAACACTTAGGGCAGTGGTTCTCAACCTTTCTAATGTCGCAACCCCATAATACAGTTCCCCATATTGTGATGACCCCTAACCACTTATACATCACTGGGTGCCAGGGGCGTGGCCAAAGAAAAGGGGGGAAAATGGCGGACAGCCTTGTTTGGCGACCCCCGTGAAATGGTCATTCAACCCCAAATGGGGCCCCAACCCACAGGTTGAGAACCACTGACTTAGGGAATAATTTATATCAGCCTTTGTTTGCAAAATGTATGAAGATGGGACCATTTGAGGTGCAGAATTCAATGGAATCTGTGGAAAAGCGGTATGGAGGTCTTGTAAGACAGCCTCGGGTTCTTATTCCAAGTTATAATTATTAATAGAATAGAGCAGAAGGGAGGAGAAAAGTAATATTTACAACATATCAGCTATTAAAATGTTACATAAAAGCTGAGTTTTGGAATGTAGGTTTCGAAGTTTTGCCAACACAGGAAGGGGCATGCTCTACTCCAGGCCTGCACAGAAACTCCCAGCCTGTCAGCACATTTGTCTAGACTGTCAGATGCTTGATAAGGCTACAGTTAGATGGGGGAGGAGGAGGGTGAAAAAAAAACAGGCGATTTATTTTGCTCCAAAGTGATGAGCCAGTTTGTAGGCTGCAGTGTCAGATTGTCATCTACACTGTGCAGATTGATCTTGATTGGTTATATCAGTGTGTACATCCTGAGAATGAGGTTCTACGTTTACCCCTAACCAAGACACAGTCATTAATTTCAAGCAAGCCATTAATGGTCTCCAGAGATATATCTTGAAGAGAATGTTGTGACCACCAGTTTAAAAAAACCCATTAACTTTTTACCAATATGTAACATTCTCTTGCACCTTTACTCAGTTTTCTTCAGGATCTTTTTAAAAAAAAATAACGTAATTTTGTTTATAATAATAAAAGAAAGAGCAAGTGAGCGAGAGTGAGTGAGTGAGTGAGAGAGAGAGAGAGAGAGAGAGAGAGAGAGAGGAAATTGTAAAGGAAAAGAAAAAAACAGAAAAAAGAAAGAAAAAAAAGAAAAGCAAGAATATAATAAAGAAAAAAGAAATATAGAAAGAAGTGACTTCCAGCCCTATCACAAGTATAAATAACCTTACTAACACTTCATCCCTATATATAGACATACATAGTATTGTGTTTTTATTCAAATGCATTGAAGGGACTTCAGACCCAATTTAAAATCACTTATTTCAGGACAAAACTAAAGCTTCATCCACCCACTGGAAATGTGCATTTTTGAATGCTAAATTCAGTGGAATATGAAAAATTGATTATCAGTATTAGCCTTAATTCAAATTTAAGCCTGATTGGCCAGAAATAATAGGCATTTTAATATCCTTATTCTAGTGTTAATATTTTTTTCAGAAGCAGTATAATAAATATTTCCTTTTATCTATTTTATATATAAATCCATTTGTGAAACATTTTTAATTTTGGAAGACATATTATTTAAGTTATAGAGTGATTTCTCAAATACATTAATGATAAAGTCAGCATCTTCTACAGATCAAAAAAGTATTTTTAAATGTTTCTTTTTTTCAGTGCTACATATTTAACCTTTTCTAGCCTTACCTGTGTTGTACCTCCCCCATTATGTTGCATTCCAAATTCATTGAATTTCAACCTTTGTAATAATAGACACTGGAATCTAATAAATCTAGATTGCACCAACTTGGGGTAGGTTGGATTAATTCATTGGCTTCATTCAGCTACTGTTACATTACAATAAGTACTTGAATGGGGTCACATTTTAGATTCATTCATGCCATATTAATCTGCAGTTATCACTTTTAGCCATTGAAGAAATGTTGGGACAACTCTTAAAAACCGACTGAAAAAATATCCATTTGCTACTATAAATCACTAATTTTGTTTTGTTTTGTTTTGTTTACAGAATACTGAATTTGAGCCAGAATTGTTCCAAAATATCATTGTTTGTGAAAAACCTAACAATGATCTCAATAGATTTATAGGCTACATGTAAGTTACTGCAGTTTTGGTTTTTACCATTCAATCACTATTATCATAGCCAGTAGAGAAAAGTAACAAAATATGTATGTGTCATGATTTTGCAACACATTTTATTATTTATCATTGTTGTAGTTTGTAAAGAATGCCATGTTATTATGTTATGTTATGTTATGATTGCATTCTACCTGAAATATTTTGAGATATTGTGAACAATTTATATAAGTACTGAATTATTGCAGTCTTTCCAAGCATGCATATAGTCCAGAAATGAAATATTCAGCAATATTTTGCTATATTTGTTCTTCTTCACTGAGGATTAAGATTGAATAGACCAGTAATGGTGAACTGTTTAGAGACCGAGTGTCCAAACAGCAACCCAAAACTCACTTATGCATTGTTGGGTGCCGAGTAGGTGTGGCCCACTGAGTGGGTGTGGCCCATTGGGTGGGTGTGGCTGCGGTGGTAACAACAGACTGGGTGGGACTAAAAAGTTCAATCAATCAATTCCAACTTTGCAAGATCTTTTTTTTTCCTGTGAGAAATTGAAACTGACTGATTGATTGAACCTTTTTTTTGTATATGGCAGCAGAGGCCTAAAGCGAAAAGGTTTTATAAAACCCAGCTGAAGGCCTAGGACTGGGGCAACGGCGCGCATGCCCACAGAGAGGGCTCTGAGTGCCACCTCTGGCACCCGTGCCATAGGTTCGCCACCACTGGAATAGGCTGTTAGTGCTCTGTCCTTCTGCAGAGAACTTTGTGTGTGGCTTTAGCACTTTAGGAATAAAATTTATTTTATTCTCTACCAAAGTATCCTTATAAAGTGGGAGCAATTGTCATTGTTTAAGTATGAAATTAGATGGATTTGTATGAGGAGCTTTCTTCAGAAAGAATTTTAATGGGCTCAGGAGCTCTGCAATGAATTCTATATCAGAATCAGGGATTCAGAGATTGCACCAAAAGACTGTTTTGTGACCTCATTTCAAAGAGATGCAGCATATAAGGAAGTCAACCACATTTCTGAAATTCTGCTCTCTTCAGCTTAAAATGCTCTTAGGTCCTCCTCTTTTCAAAAATGCAAATGTGGGGGACAATTAATGAAATGTTTGTCTCACCCATTTCCATCCTCAATTTCCTTTTATAATGAGAAATATCCAAAGAGCTGTAATTGTATTAATATTCCATAAACTGAGGAGTGTATCATTTTTATTTCAAAGGATGCAATCTTTTATCTGTGTCTCTCTGGCTGTTTCCTGACAGGAATATCAGGAAAAGATAACTGAGGCTTGGATACTCAACCTTGTTTGCTCTTTGTGTTTACAATGGGTGAATTACTAAAGAGCTTTCCAAAAATATATTCACCAATCAAGTTAATCCATCCAACTCCCAACATGATATATAAACTAGTGGGAAGTGTACTGATAAATTATTCCATAGCACACTGAATGTTTTTATATTCTAAAAGTGAACTAATACAACTGACTTCTATAATGCTCCAACTAAACACTGCAAGTTATCCAGAACATATTCTAGTTGCTAGCTATCTGTAGTTAATTTTCTGACTCATGGGGAGTCATTGGGTTTATACAGCCCATGTAATATGAAACTAGTACTACCGAGCCAGAATATTTAAATATGCAAACAAATGTCAATTCCCAACCATGATAAATGTAAAGCAACACTGCTGGGTGTGTCTCATTATTGCTGTTCCTAGGAACTCTTATAGCATCCCAGTATCAGGATCATCTGAACATGGGCTGTAATTATTTGGTTTCTATGGATCATTACCTTCATTTTTATTGTAGCCAAGCACTTGAAAATTGGGAGAGGTCCAAGCCTCACTGAATGTTATTACTGATGAGGACTTTCTTTAGGTCTGTGGCTGATCCTTTATCGGTTCCTTTTTTAATGGAAAATTACAGCTGAGATTTCCTACATTAAAAGCATATATTCAATGTATTGAACTGTAAAATCCAATCAGTCACTCCCTAACCTTTCCCATAGTTATTTTGCAAGTATGTAGATAGTGGTTAGCAGAAGCGTTGGCAAAAGAGATGAAGCAACCTGTAGTTTGCACAAACTGTCATTTGTAGGATCACATTGCTAACATTCAATGGACAAACACTAGTAGAGGAGTATTCTACCAATTTCTAATGTGAAATTTAAAAAAATATATAAGTATTGACTTGAGGGGAGGGGAGGGGAGACGAGAGGAAGTGAGGGGAGGGGAGGAGAGAAAGGAAAGGAAAGGAAAGGAAAGGAAAGGAAAGGAAAGGAAAGGAAAGGAAAGGAAAGGAAAGGAAAGGAAAGGAAAGGAAAGGAAAGGAAAGGAAAGGAAAGGAAAAAGGAAAAGGATCTCTACAGAGAAATCAGACCAACCCACTTGTATGACATTAAACCTTTCCCCCTCTTCTTTGTGAGGAGGAAACAAAAATAATAGCAAAATAGCATTTCTTCTTGCTGTTAAAAACTCATGCAACCCACTTTGCCTACCCTTCAAGGTTCCATCCAAAAAAGGTGCCAGAACTCCATTCTGGACGTTCTTTGACAAAAAAAAGCCCTAGCTCCAATCCTGAATATTAGTTCGCTAACAAAGTCAAATTTTCTGCCATGCATCTGTGGAAAGGGGTAATTGTTCTCTCACCTTAGATTCCATCATAAGAAAGGAAAATTCATGATAAACATTCCATTCAGAATCTTCCAAAAGTAAGCTTGAAACTTAAGTCATAGAAAAAAATGAAGCATTTTGAGGCTTTTTTTTTCCAGACAAAAGACAGATGGTTGCTTTAAAATACCATATTTTTTGGCATATAAGGTGACCAGGCATATAAGACAACCCCCGACTTCGGCGCCGAGTCGCATGCCTAGAAAGTCATCTTATATGCCAGAAACTACCATTATTTCCAGCGTATAAGATGACTCAGCGTATAAGATGACCCCCGACTTTGGCGCTGATTTCAACGCTTTCGAAAGTCGTCTTATACGCCGGAAAGTACAGTAGCCTTTGAGCATTAAGTATGAGGACTCCAATCAAGTGCCTGAAAGCATTTCACCATGTACACAGATTTATCTGCAGTGGCAAGGACATACTTTCTTAAATGCTGCTGGCAAAATATACCCAATGTATTGAATTTCCACTGCTGACACTTTGCTAGAACAGAAAGTCAGAAGAGCCGCCGAGACCTTTGAACATTTATATTAAAAGAATCTATTGTGTGAAATTAAATAATGTGTTGTGTCAAAACATTACATGATGATCTATAGGAGCCTAGGGCACAGGACATCAGAGAAATCGACTTTTCTGTAATGTAAATTCTCAGCCTTTTAACACTGATTTGAAGCCTCAGCATGGTAGTGAGCCCCTGCAGTACTTTATACCATCAGTGAGCCTCAAAACATAATCACCCATGGTCATGATATTAGTAGTGTATTATTTAGCTCTGAGAGAACAAGGAAAAATATATGAAGAAAACAACACACATCTTTCTTCTTTGCAGGGAACAGCCTGATTGCACACAAATTGGACTTGACAATGAAAGCCTTCTTCTTCGTGGTTGCATAATAAGGAATACAGAAGTTGCAATAGGAATTGTTATCTATGCAGGTAATTATTGGATTTATTTTTCATACAGCTACAGATTGATACTAAGGTTGCAAAGAGTTCTTTCTCCCAGCACTTTTTGTGCAAAGTAAAATTTGTTTTGCCTCTAGCACTTTCTCTGTAAAATGCAGAACTGGGGAATCTACCTCTATCAATTTTCTTTTTCTTACCGGCTCCTACCCTTCATTATTTTGGATAACTTTTAAATTGAGTAATAATTTTATAAAACTCAAAACTGTCTATGTTACCATTCGTAGTTTATTCTGAGAAATAAATTCTTACTTAATGCATTCTTTTAGTGAATTATATCTTGCTTCTTAAAAGTCAGCTTTATGGTTTAAGAGAAGAAGAAATGCTGCATTATACAGTACATACAAGAAACCAACTTGTGGCCTTTGATGGCATTCTTCATGGTTGTGAGCAGGAGGATTGTGCTATTTTTGTAAACTACTTTAGAAATGCTTATTGAAGATCACTATAAAAGCAGCACTTAATCAAGATGTGTAAAATGGAAAGGGAAGAAAGGTTATGGTATGTTTCATTAGTGACTGAATATAGGTAAAGATTATACTACCCAGAGAGAAGAAAGCATTGTCAAGAATGATTTTTAAAATAATGGGTTCTGGAACTCTTCAAATTCTTAGAATGGCAAAGGGGAAAGTTGCACTCTCAACCAATCTGAAGAGTTGTCTTCACCTTGTATTGTAAATATAAAATCCCCATCCCAAGTCCTCAAGAACTGCCTAAACTAATGAGGTTTGCTCTGAATAACTTGGCTTCTGACTGAAATGTCAGCGTGCACTTTTTTTAGTTTGTATAAAAAATGTTGCAGTTGCTGTGCTGATAACAGTAAAACTATCACTCAGGAAAGAGACATTTGGAATTAATTTCTATCCTTATCTTGTCACTTTAAATGTTGTGGCAGCTTTTGACTTTAAAACACTGGCATAACCTAGCAGTACCTCTTGGGAATATTTTTATTTTCCTAGTAAATTGCTTTTCAAAATTTCTTTTCTTTGATGCCAGTGGTGTTCACACAACACGTATTGCTCATGAGCAGTGAAAAGTGGAAACCTCAAATCACAGTGATAATACTGGTTTTGTTTTCCTATTGTATTTCTTTAGAAATGTTCGAGACCACCCAACTCTACAATAACCCTGAATAGCTTACAGTAAAAACCATAAAAATATCATTAAAAACCCAAGTGCCAGAATAAAAATAACCATTAAATAGCACTTAGCAATAGCAATAGCAATAGCAATGTCTATTGGAGATTCTCAGTCATCCAGGTCATAGTTATCCCAAAGATGCTTTTTTTTTTTTTCTCGAGGCAACTGGAGTTTCTTGTTTTTCTTTGAAAACATTTCACTTCTCATCCAAGAAGCTTCTTCAGCTCTGACTAGATCAGTGGTTCTCAACCTGTGGGTTGGGACCCCATTTGGGATCAAACGACCATTTCACGGGGGTCGCCAAACAACACAGTCCGCCATTTTTTTCCCCTTTTCCTTAGCTGTGCTACTCTCTTTTATTCTTGAATAGAGTCTAATTCTATTGCTTTCAAAAGCCAATAGGAATTGTCCAGGCTGTCTCTGCCCTGCTGAGCCCGCCAAAAGTCCCATTCTGCAAACGGTGCTGCACCAGTTGAGTAGTCCTTGACTTACGACCGGTTGAGTAGTCCTCGACTTATGACCGGTTGGGGGTCATGGCATTAAAAAGTTTGAGAACCACTGGACTGGATGGTGGGGAATGGAAAGATTTATACTCCTTGCAGACAGCTGTTCATTTGCATTCTTTTAGCAAGTGGTTAATGCTACCTGGAGGCTTATCTGTGTCTTTAGGATCACCTGAGTGGTGCAAATGTGTGTGGAGCCTTCTTGGAACTGTTGAAAGGACTGTATTGTAGACTGGAGATAGATGATGCCATATCCCTCCCCCTCTGTTGAGAGAGGGCTGTTCAGTTTTGACATAGATGGCCTCTTTGACTCCTCTTTCAAACCAGTGGTCCTCTCTGTCCAAAATGTGTCTTCAAAAGAGTGGCCTTTGTCTTTTAAATGCAGATGGACTGCTAAATCTGGTCCTGATGGATTTGTTCTCCTATGTTGTGCCATACGTTTATAAAGTTGTTGTTTTGTTTCTGAAATGTACAGACCTGCAGATGGCTCACTGCATTGTACTACATATACCACGTTGCTCAGTTTGTGTCTGTTGTTGCCTTGAGAGAGAAGAAAATCATCTTTGGGAGAGCAATAGCAATGGCACTTATATATTGCTCCATAGTGCTTTACAGTGCTCTGTGAGCAGTTTACAAAGTCAGCATATTGCCCCCAACAATCTGGGTCTTCATTTTACTGACCTCAGAAGGATTGAAGGCTGAGTCAGCCTTGGGCCAGTCAGAGTTAGCCTGCAATACTACATTCTAATCTCTGTGCCACCGGGGCTCCTAATAACATTCAAATACAGAGACTCATCACCTGCACTCTAACCCAGGGGTGTTAAACCGCACCCATCCCATTGCCGGCAATGGAAAAAAAGTCACGATACATTGCGACGTGTCACATGACATTGCAAGTTTGACACCCCTGCTCTAATCCAAGTCCTGGGGAAGGAGCCAATTTTTAAGGTTCTTTTAAACATGGCTCAGATAGGGCCAAATGCATCTGGGATGATGCTGCAGGTAGCAGGGGTTGCAACAGAAAAGGCATGCCTCCTAGATCCCATCAGATGGAGCTGCTTAATGCATGGGACATTGAGCATGTTGGATATGGCTAGTTGTGCAAGCCAGACAAAAACTACAGAAAATACATAGTCCTTTAAATAATCAGTCCCTATGTAATGAAATTCCCTGGTTATAATTTCTCCTGAAATGGGAACCATTAGATTCCAATTTACTCTGTGTTTCTTTCTGGCCTGCTGTTTTGTTGGTACTTCAGATTCACTTTGGAAAGATCTAAACAGCATTAAAATTATTCACTGCTGGATCTAACTTATTGGACTTTCTTTATGTTCACCCAGAACATGCACTAGTAGATTCTCATTAAGACACTCTGGCAACTGTGAAACAGTCAAACTTACTTAGAAATCAGTCGGCCATCTAATTAGGTTTTAAGGCATTAAAGTACTCTGCATTTTCTGGCTCCAGTTGAAATTCATTGTGAATAAGGACTTCAGCTAACCGCTTTCCATTTGCAAAGAATCCCCAACAGACTTTAAATTTAACCTATGATTTCTCTACATTGTTCTCATTATGTGTAGTCTCAACCACAGTCAGTATGATGTTGTCTGTATGACTATAGCTTTTGAATTGTAGACAGCTATGCACAAAGCCTGCTGGCCACATACTCATTTTTTTAAACCAGCCAGATGCTGGATGCATTGTCCCCAAAACTGCATTAGATTGTTCTACCTGCATAGAAAGAGGAACAATGGCATGCTTAGTATTCTTCACACACACGCACATAGATTTTGGCATACTGCTCACGCACTTGTTCACATATATTTTTGAACATCCACTGACTGTATTGCAAGATATTTTTTCCAATTGCCTGCTATTAAATCCATTGCACAGAAAGACTGACTATTGAAACTGTTAATGCAGAGAAGCTTCAAACAGTTCCTCTTCACTGAAATCAAATCACCATGGTAGAGCTTGTGAATCATTGTAAATCTTGCGAAAGTGGCATTTTAGCATAATGTGTGAAGTGTGTTATCCCAGCAAATCCTGAGTGCTGCAAGGCAACAAACCCCATGAGAACCACATGCAAACAAAATTGCACTTGAGCGCTTTCTCCTTGCTAGGCTAAATAAAGTCCTAGCTGGGAATCGAAAGCTTGGGGACATGGAAACCAAATGGGAAATACATGCCAACAAACAAAGAATGATTCACTGGAAAACAAGTTGCATATGTCTATGAAACAAGAGATAGAAAATGCAAATCAACTTTCCAAATGGGACAAGGAATACAGGTCTGCTGATTTGCCCCACAGCTGGTTTGCAGAAAGCATTATACAATGGATTGAGGTTCAGTCAGCCCAAAAGGCAGAGGAAAAATAGTATCTAAAAGCATCCCACATCCCTACACTGTTTTAAGACACTAAAACAAAACTTTGTTGTCTTTATGGAAGTGAGATGCAGCATATAATGGTGTCTCAATATACCAGAGTTTTCACAAAATGTACAACAATAAATAGTTACAGCAAACATCATCAGTCCTGTTTTCATTCCTGTAATAGTCCATGAATTAACCTAGATATCAAATATATCAGAGAAATTACTTCAGGGAGCTCTATAGGAACTCTCATTTTGGGAAGTTATCTCAGTTGACTATGTCTGTTGCCTCTGGATTGGGTTCAGAGACAGAATTTATGAATTGATTTGTGGATCAAATCAAAAATCCATTAAACTAATCACTCTGATTTCCATTGTAGCCAGCCAGATGGTGCTGAGAAAGTCACAAGCAGAACATGATGAAGCAGCAATGGCCAATTTCTATTAAGCAAATTATTTCAGAATGTGGAAACTAATTTGAATGCTTATGGTTAATTTTCAGTGATATTGCTACCCAACACATAGTAAACTAATCCACAGTTTGTCAGCACAGCCCCTGAAGCACCAAGAAACAGCATCCCCAGATGGCAACTGCAGAATTCCAAAGCTTTTGTAAAAAGAAAAGTTATAAATCATTTTTTTAAAAAAATGGCCAGAATCTCACAGATATATATATTTTTTTAACATTCTTACATGAGCTCAGAAGAAGATAATCTTCGGGAACTTAAGAATTTCAGTACTACTTGGAAAAGATCTTGGGGGGAGGAGATCACCAAAGAGTGTAGTTTTATGAAATGAGAAATATTTTTTAAAGTATTGTTTTGATTTCTTGCCTCCGGTCTGCTTATGTGAGATTCTGTGATAGAACCATAAACATATTGTTGATCTCTATTCCAGTCTTTTTAAAAATTATGTAAGGAGTGACCTTTGTAAAGTTGTATAGCAATTATTAGCTAGCATTTACTTCTTACGTTTGGGATAGGTGTTATTTATTCAGGTGATTTAGAAGACATTTATTTATTTTATTTTATTAATTAAATTTAGAAACTGTCCATTTATAAACATACATCTGCCTTAAAATAAATAACATTCAGCAGAAGTAAATAATACATCCATTACAGCCATCTGTTTTATTAAGAAACCTCAAAGAAATTCATGTTTAACTTTCCCTAAATATGTAATTATTAAATAAGCTGCAATAAAACCTTTGTTAAAGTTCAGTTTAAAATAGTTATCTATTCATTCTCTCCGCATTGTTGACAATTTTATAAAGTCCAATTCTGATCCTCCTCCTTTTTTCTCCTAAAGTAAAAATCCAAACTATTTGTGTACTTGTGGTATTTTCAAGATATTTTTAAAACGCCTTTCAGCTTTCTAAAATCCAGGTTGATGAGCAGCAATAAGAACATAATAGCCCTATCAAACTACTGCTTCATTTAATTATCTGTGCTGTCAGGCAGCTGTTCCTCTCAGTTGCAGATAAAAAATTTTCCCAGTTTTACCATTATTTATTTCCGGTAAATCCAAGATTTACTGTGCTGTTTTAGGAAATCGGGATATATTGTTGTAATCTTCTTGGCTTCTGCAATATCAATCTACCATTGGAAATCTGTTGCCAAGAATGCAGTTTGAATTACTTCTACAGATAGCTGAGGAAGCGTTTGTACCAATCTCAGCCTTATTATTCTAAATAATAATCCAGCCTGAAAACATGAGTATGATCACCTTTGACTTTGTGGATTTGATAATCTTTTCTGTATAATCCATCTGTAATCTCTTCCATGAACCTGTGATTCTTTGTGACATCAGTATTTTTTTAATCTATTTTGGCTTTCAGTTATGGAGAGGACAATGTGAACATTCTTCTATCCTTCTTTGGACCATTTTTCTGAATCCATCTATCACTCACTTTCTTTAAGGTTTCTTCCTTTGATGTACCCAAAAATTATATGCCCACAGGTTGAATCAAGGATCTTTTGACTTCAAAGTATGTCCTTCGCAACACACGTGCAGACCTCTTTTTTTTTCCTCCAGGATTTGTGTTTTCAGTTGAGCAGGAATTCTGGTTTTAGACACTTTTCTTTGTTTCTCCGAGCTTCCTCCAGAGAAGATATTAATAGATTCTTTGTGAGATACAATTCTTTCCAAAACCTCTGAAATTGCAAGACACTCAACATCTCTGGAAATCATGTTGTTGCACATACCTATCCTTTATATTCCAAAAACTACCATGAAAATGCATGTGTGTATGGCTAAAGTTTGGTTTCTTGTAATCCCTGAGTTCTTTGCATTCATAAGATAATTTTATCTTTATGCATGTGCACACCTGGAAGGCCATGAAACCAAAGCTATGCTGAATAACAGAGGTCCTCGGTATAAACGCAGCAAGATAGAACAACAGATGAACATGGATATATTCTTCTGTGTGGGACTGCTCTTCATCATGTGTCTCATTGGAGCATTAGGTATGGAACAGTGGTAAAAACCATGTCTACTATTTGTGAAAGCTTTTTGTAACATGGTGCACTTGGACAGACTTTTCTACAGATGAGAAGATCAATGCTGCCCTTTGACAGAGGGAAGAGAGGCTCTCACATAGTACATGAGGAAAAAACCTGAGCAGTGGCAATCAATATCAGCCAGTGACACTAATTCTATTATGATCTTGTACGATCAGCATCTCAAGATAGACCAGACTACGACATTGAGGTTATGAATGCTAACTACTTTATGATAAGGTTACAGTAACAAGATCTGTAGAGGTTTGAATGCACTTTCCCTCTCCTTCCTTTATCTTCCTGAACTCTAGAGAGGGTTATGTCTAAAGTGCTTACTCAAATTATATTTTGACCCCAGATTCAGAATTATTTTTAATCTGACCATTGGCTTGGTTGCAGCTCTTCCTCTTGTTCATCAAAGTTATATCGACTGCCCACTACAGGTATATCTTTAACATTAAAAATTAATAAAGATTTATTGTTAGTCCAGCTAACTTTTATGTCTGGAAAAGACATACTCTCTTATATTTTGCTCCAGGCAACATTTCTTGAACTAGCCATGAAGTTTGTTTAATTTAAACTTAACCCACACTGTAGAACAGAACAGCCTGAAGTACTTTTTATTCTGTAGGGGTCACTATGTAAAAAAAGGAAGAAAAGAACAATGCATGTGAGCATTAAGTATATCTGTATATTTAAAAGTTACATATTTGGATTCATGTAAAGACACTTTCTGAATACCCCACCCCACACACAAAAACACTTTTTAACTAACTAAAAACTTATTTATTATTATGAAATAATTTGTTTGCAGCCCATCTCATCGCCACTGTGCCTCCAAATGCTATAGACCTTTAGAACAGTGGTCCCCAACCTTTCCACCTTGACAGCTCAGCCCGGCATGGGGGGGCATGTGAGTAGTATGCACATACTTGGTGTGAGCGGCAGGTAACTGCACCCTCAGATTACACCAATGGAGCTTTGTGCATGAGCAGCAGGTGCTTGCACTCGTGCCGAAACTCCAGTCGTGAGTGGGGGGCACTGGAGCAGAGGGTGCTTGTGCTCACGTGTGAAGTTCCACTCATGCAAGTGGTGGGCACTTATGCTCGCACATGAAATTCCATTCACGTGAGTGAGGGCGCTGGACCAGAGGGCACTTGTGCTCACTCACAAAACTCCACTCATGCAAGTGGAGGGTGCTTGTGCTCATGTGACCCTCCACTTGTATGATTAGAGAGTGCTGGCTCGCAAAGCTCCATTTGCGTGAATGGAGCTTCATGCATGAGCACAGGTGCACTCCACTCAAGCACCCTCACTTGTGCGAGTGGAGCTTTGTGCATCAGCAGAAGGGCCCACCACTCATGCCAGTAGAGCTTTGCATGCACATGCTTATCTGCTACTCGTATGAGTGGAGTTTCCCAAGTGCTTGCTTGCCCATCACTTGCACAACCCAGTTTCAAACAGGATTTGGCCTGGTTTCAAACAGGGCATGGCCCAGTAGTGGGCCACAACTAAGGGGTTGGGGACCCCTGCTTTAGAAAACTCATTTTAAAAAACTTTTTTAAAAAATGTTTTGTCATAAGAAAAAGAGAGAAGAAAGAAGGAACAGCTTTTATAGGGAAAGAGACAAATGTTTAAAGATGCTTAGATCAGATGTTCAAATTGTGTTCTTTAGAACACTAAAATTACATGAGAACTTGATGTGGTCTTGTGAGAGATTAAGAGAAAAAAAGTTTATTCAAATGCAGCCAATTTTCTATCATAGAGCAGTTTCTCTAAGTTCAAAAAGTTTAAAAGCCCCTTCTTTAGTTCATAGATATGTTTTTAGGAAAGACATTTTGTTAATCATGGAGTATTTGTTATTGATGGAAGATGCATTTTTCTTCTAACCCTTTGAATTAAAATCATAGAGATTTCATCTAAAATTACCTAAGCCTGGATTTGCATCTGTTGATCAGTTTTAATATGGTTGCTTAATTTATAACAATATAACAATAAAGTTAATGCCATCTATTGTGCTTTGTAAACCATCATTTAAATGTTAATATGATGTATGTAGTCAGATTTGGCTTATTCAATATATACTATGCTAAACAAAAAGTGTTTTCAGAATAACATGTGAACCCAACCCATTTTGCACCCAATAATGAAGGGATCTTACTGTATCTATCTTGTTGTACATGATATTTTGGAATAATGGGATAATTAATTTGCTCTAATGCTTTTGAAAAGCATAATTTTGGGGGGGGAATCATATAGCCTTTTCAAACTTTTCTAATTGGTTTGCCCAATTGAAAATCTCTATTTCCATATTGGGATGTTGTGTTTTAAATTTATTCTGTGGAATACTCTTGGTGTGTAGGTGTGCTCACCGGCTAGGCCTTTTGGATATTGCTATTATTCTTTCTGTTTTTTCTATTACTCCTTTTATTGTGAAAGTGATGGCTCAGGACAGCACAATGGCTCAGTGGTTCAGATGCTGGGTTTGTTGACTAGAAAGCTGACAGCCTGGGTTTGAGACCTGAGCGTCGCACGATGGGGTGAGCACCCATTTTTGTTTAGCTCCTGCCCACTTAGCAGTTTGAAAGCATGCAAACGCAAGTAGATAAACAGGTATCACTTTGGTGGGGAGGTAACAATGCTCCATGACATCATGCTGGCCACATGACCACAGAAATATTTTTAGACAGTGCTGCCTCAATGGCCTTGAAATAGAGATGAGCACCACCCCGTATAATTGGCAACGATTAGTGAAGTAAAATCTGCAGGGACTCCTTTACTTTTTTTCCTTTCTATTGTGCACTGAGAGTAGGAGTCTGGCTGAAAATTACAAGGAATGAGTTATAATGGCCTTGAAGAATTTTTGCCTGCGATTTCTAGTCTTTTCATTGTGAAGCCCATAATAAGCGTATGAGAAACACTTTGAAAACCACAATGGGCTAAAGCACATTCAATATGGATAGAAATTTGGACATAGAGAAAAAGTTCACTGCTAAAATTAATAATTCATTGTTGTAAATTCCCTAGATGGTACCAATCACTTTCAATAAATAGCAAAAGAAAGATTGCTCTCTTACCAATTGCAGAGATTGTGTCCTAATGTGAGCAGGAGTTGCACGGATGTCAAATTCTAATGAAAACAAGTCCACCAAGACTCCACAAATAAATATTTGGCAGAAGTAGCAAATGTTCCTATAATTGTGTCCCAATTTCTAAGTGTCAGTCTACAAGTGAGTTGCACAATGCTCCACTGGAATTTAATTTATTTTGTGTAGTGAGAGCCTTTGAGGAAAGTGGCATGGCATGGCTGTAAGCTGTTGAATTAGCCAGACAAAAAGAGCTGAACTATCTAGAAATGAAGAATCCTAACTAAGCAGCAGTTCAGTTGTTGTTGTTTTTTTTTCATTTCATTTTTAACAAAATGGGAGCTTCAGGTTCAAGTTATAGTCTTGGTTTAATCTGGGATCACAAATGGAGGAGTTTTATACACTGGGAATGCAGTATGTCTTCCTCTTTCAGGGAGGAAAAAAATACATCAAAAGATGGAAAAGTGAATTACAAACAAGTTTAGTCTTAATCTTTGTAAGCCTTAAAACTGGGGAACATGTCCTGATCTACTTCCTCAGATTTCCCAGGATTGCCCTGCATGTATTTCTTTTTGACATACATTTCATTATAAGGAGATGGGTAGAAAATGATTATTATTTTTTTTGCTTGTCACTGTTCTTTGCCAGAGATTTTAATGTTGCTCTTTAATACACACTGATTGTATTTCATTTAAATGGAAACTCATTCTAACGAAAAAGTCAGATGCTGATATCTATTGATAATCTCCTGCTTCATTTCATAGAAAATCCAATTTTATACACTTAAAAGCGGTACAGTTTGTTTTTTAACTGTTTATTAGATAATGGCTTATAAACTAGTGCCACATCCGAATGCTTGAAGTGGAATTAGCTGTTACAGGTTACGGCTGTAGAGTAAATAGCCCATGATGGGTGCAATAAAACTAGGGGGGGGAGGGAAATCTTTCCACATAGAATTATTACAAAGTAATGAACTAATTCAATGTTGGTTATATACCACATTACACCAGTGAATTTCTACTCATGCAAAAGGATATTTATTTCTTCTCTTCTCCATCTCATTAGATCCCAAAATTACTGCAGAAAGTCCTGCTCTGAATTTGCAGAGGGGGGAGGGGGAGGAATGAGGAGGGACACAAAAAAGGGGAGGATGGAAATCCATACCAGCTACCAAAAGCTGCTCCATCAGTGTAGCAACATAGTTGAATACAGCTTATTATATTTTATTTTAATGTGCTTGTCTCCCTCTTCCCAATTTCCTGCATATGCTCTGCTGAGTTCATTATCTCAAATATTTTGTATTTGAATGCAGGTCAAAGTGTTTGGAATGGACGTTTTCGCATACATCCCTTATTTATCATCCCAGATGTAAATGGCAATTACCTTGCTCCAGCTCTTGCAGGTTTCTACACATTTCTAACAATGATCATCCTTTTACAGGTGGGAAAAATCATTATTGCATGAATGAGAAAAGGTTTAAGGTTATGTTTTACCCCACAATTACATCTCAATTACATTACAGGGGCTTTCTTTCAAGGAGGCATAGGCAGTGCTGTGGAGAAACAGAACAGTCAAGCAGCTTAATGATGAGCTAGGTGTGAACTCCAATTCACATTGTATCTCAGCCTTGAACTCAAGAGACACCCTTGGACAAGCATCTTCTTTTCAGTATCACAGCTTCAGTTTAGCCATCCTCGTTGCAGTGCAGGAAAATACATTATTGATCTATTCTTGTTTGGTTAATAATAATCACATAACTACTCCTCAAATGCACTTTTAAAATATGAAAGAGCTGTAAATAAGCTCTGTTATTCTTCTTTCAGCGAGGAACCAATCAATGGTTGAGAGAAATATCTCAGTATTAATACTACTGCTTCAAACAGCATCTCATTATTTTAGTGGTAATCTTTAAATATGATTTTAGATGTGGAATGAAGAATATTTTGTAGTCTTGGTTGGACCACTCTTTTTTAAAGTATTCTTACTGGTAACCAACAACTGCAGAAGACAGAGCAAAGTTTAAAGTTTCTGAGGATTTCTGTTGTAGTTTCCTATTGTACATATGTAGTCCCAACTAAAAGCCTATTTCAGTGATGGTGAACCTTTTAGAGACCGAGTGCCCCAAAACCTCCCCTCACCCTGTCCCCGCTCCACCCTGCCCGCTGGGCCACCCACCACCTCTACGGCCCGCCACAGATCACAACAGCGCCATGGTGACCACGCCCTCCGCCCATGCCCCGCAGCATCATCTGCACACGATGGGGATTCCGGGCAGCGGGGAATCTTGTCCCTGCTGCCCGGCTACCATGTCCTTGGCTGGGCTGCTTCACATGGGCCACGCCCGGGGGCGACTCTCCTCTGGGGGGGCTGCTGGTGAGGAGGGGGCCATGGGAGGAGGCGTGGCTGGGGCAACGGTGCATGTGCCCATAGAGAGGGCTTCAAGTGCCACCTCTGGCATGCGTGCCATAGGTTCGCCACCACTGGCCTATTTTTTTACTAGCAACTGGGTGGGAAATTACAGCACCGATTTTTAGAAATTTCTATATTGTAATCCTGGCATGTAGGAGAAGAAATACAACAACAAAAAGAAAGAAGCCCAACCTTTTATAATTAAGAATCATTTAGAATCAGACAGCATCAAACCAAATCAAATTGTACATATAAATACATATACAGTTGCTTTATTATTTATGGACAATGTCATTCCTGCTTTTTGTCATGCAGAAGGAAGTTACTATATAAACTAGGAAAGAAAACTGATCCTGGCTCAGGCTTAAAAGTTAAAGCAGCTCACAAAATGTGAAGGTGGGGATCAGGCTGAGGCTGCCATACTATAACATAAATTATTGCCATTTTACCTGTCTAAATTTTACTCCTTGACCCAAGCTGCAAATTTGTTTGCAGGACAAAACATTCAGGTTTGTATGAGTAACAGCAGAATTTACCTGTAATGCAAATACAGTTAAAGAAGGAAATTTGGTTTAGAAGATCTACACAGAATTCTAAATACACCCAGCAGACTGCAGGTTCCTGAGCATGCAAGACTTTTCAGAGTGAGTTTTAGACATGGTGTAGAAGCTGCAAGAAATTGGTTATCCCAGATAGATGGATGGGTGGACAGACAGACAGGCAGGCAGGCAGGCAGGCAGGCAGGCAGAAATGAAAAGTGCCAGTGATTGCAAAGAAACAGGGAGAGAATGATCTCATTAGAAAATTCTGAGCAGAAATTTATTTAGAAAGTGCTCCAATTTTAGAGTAAAAGTAGTAGATCTAATCCAATATAAATCCATACCATTTTATATTAAAACTTTCCAGAAGAATCCCATTGTAGTCTGTATTATTATATATTCTTACTATAATGTGTCATTATATATTCATTTCTTATATTTGAAGGTCACTCTTTAAAAAGGTTCTTACAGGATCTAACAGTAAAGTTTAAAACAGCAACCATAAAACAGTAATTACAATGAACCATTCAATCTGAAAGTTAAATTTAAAAACAATATCAAGCAGATAATAAAAATCAAGTGCTAAAACTGATATAAATATTACAGTAAAAGTTACCAGCCATGGAAAATAAATGTCATTATTTTCCTGACTTCTGTTGAGCTCCAGGATGGCTGAGAAAGAGGCACTGGAATGGGTGAGTACTCTGTAGATTTGAAGGGCTATAAAGTCAGAGTTAGACATGGGGATGTTATGGAAATCTCTGTGAAGACATCTTGTAGCAATCATTGTTAATGTCAAAAAAGAAACAGAAAATTATCCAGCAAAAGAATTTCTAACATGCTGAAAAATGTCTTCTTTCAGATCTTAATTCCTATCTCCCTCTATATATCAATTGAACTAGTCAAGTTGGGTCAAGTCTTCTTAATTCATAATGATATTGACTTGTATAATGAAGAGAAAGATTTGCCCATACAATGCCGAGCACTCAATATCACTGAAGATCTGGGACAAGTTCAGTATGTCTTCTCTGACAAAACAGGGACACTGACGGAGAACAAGATGGTATTTCGAAGATGTACAATTAATGGGAAGGAATTTTCACATCAGGAAAATGGTAAGATTTGTTGGCTTGCTCTTAACTGCTAAATTAGTTTGAATGTGAAAACTGCTGGAGAAAGAAATTCCCTCAAATATGAAAAGCAAATGTCCCACAGCTTAGTCCTTTCCTGGGAGTTGAGAAGGAGTTAGACTAAAGGGTACGTTGTGTGCAAATAAAGGACACAGGACTATATCATACATGCATTTATCTATAGAGAAGTTTCTCACAGTGTAAACACTTTGTGATTCAGGTCCCTTACACACAGAAGGGTACAAAAGAGTATTTGCACCTCTGTGAAAACAAGGAACTTATATGAGGAGAAGCTGACCCAAGATCAGCTCAGCTTCAGCTTTAAGCAAACATAAGATATCCATCCAGCATTTATTTTGGAAATGTGAGGGAACCTCAGCTTGGCTCTGGGGATTTCACAATTTTTTGCTTACTATTCTCTGCAAGAGAAACCATTGGCTACCTCAACTTCACCCCCATCCCAAGGAACAACCATGTGGATATGCACAAAGCAATGCAGAAATGCAGCCAACTTTGGAAAAGTAAAGTCCCTAGTTGTGTGGGAGTGCCTTCAAACCCCCCATTGTAGGGAAAGAGTGGCAGAACCTGAGGGTGGAATTAAAAGAGGATCAGCCTAAAATCTCTACATAGCCACAAGCAAGCTAAGTCCACCCCTCCCCCCTTGAATTCCATTCATCCCTATCTAACTCCTAGATTGTGTGTAAGGGACCTGAATTCCTAACAGGGGCTCATCGTTAGTTGAGCCTATTCCTGTGCATAGGCATCAGTAGCCATAAATCAATTTAATTAGACCTTCACATGTGAACCTGATCTCTTGCGCCTGACCCCCATTCCCCTTAAGCAGTGGTGGGATTCATCCAGTTTGCACTACTTCAGCAGAACCGGTAGCTAATTTTTTGTTGCCCAGGCCCAGAATGGACTTCCAGAAGCGGCATCTACACAGAGAACTAGTTGTTCACATATTTGAATCCCACCACTGCCCTTAAGGCTTAATTCCTACCCCACAGTGACTTGCAGGGCTGCCTTTCCTCCATTGTTTCTGCCTTCCCTGCCAGAACAATAGAAGGGGCACCTTTCTTAGGAGCTTGAAGGGACAAACACGGTGATCTTCTTTATCTCACTAAAACTCATGTGGAGTAGATTGATGAGCATAACTGGCTTAAAATCACCTAGTGAGCCCTGGTATATGTGGGGATTTGATGCTGGGTCTTTCAAGTCCAACATTTTAACCACTACACATTCTTGGTTCTTTCTATCTCTCATAGCTAAGCGGCTGGATTCTTATAAGGAACTTGATTCAGAGAATGAAGACTGGAAAAAACATTTGAGCCTCCCCTCCAAAGTTGGAGAAACAACCACACTAACACAGAAAAACAATGCTAGGCCTTTGCAAAGATGTCATAGTGCTCGGCCCCATTTTCAGGGACATGCAAGAAAGAAATATCAGGGTCTCTGGGGAATAGCTCCATCTCAGGTGGCATTTAGCAGCACCCTTGTAAGTATGGCCTTTCACTTCTTTAAATTATATAACCTTGCTCCTACAGCTGGTTTAGGGAAGAAAAAAAAGTCTCAGCTGTAACTATAAGAAATGGAGGGTAATTATGATGACCCAGGGCATGGCACAGAGGCAAAACAGTCAACTGGCAGTTCAAACCGCCCTTTATTTGCTTCAATTTTCCCCAAATGCTCCCACATTTCTGGCAAGCTGCAGAACAAAGTAAGACACACACACCTTCAACAGCCTCTGGCTGCAAGTAATTTCACAAGTTTTTAACTCTTCAGGCAGGGAAAGTGTGTGTATGGAACAAGCAATTTCTGTTCTGAAAAACTGTATCAGGAGCAGATAAATTGGGTTCCATTTAAATATCCCTTCTTATACATAAAAGCATATCCTGGCATATGCCCCAAATATATAGTTCGTTGATTTTTTTGTTCTGAGTCAGGAATAATAAGGAGGTAAAAAGAATAAGAAATAAATTAGCATGCCGCGAAGGCACAGGAGTTAAAGGTTAGTACAATGACTCCTTCAAATATCTGTCTCTTAAGACCATTGACAAAAAATCAGGCAAGTAGCTACATTACATGGGCAAAATTATACGTGAGCGCATTCTTAAAATATTAGGCAAAAATCAGGCAAATGATGCAGAGAGGCAAATGCAAATGAGAAGAACAAATCAATTGGTCTAGGCAGATTATTGTTCTGCTAATGCAAATGTGCTTTTTTGGTTATTGGAAGAGAATTAGATATAAATTTGGAGCAGTGAGAGCAAGCAACAAAAACAGTCACTGTTGACTGTTGTTAGTTACGACTCCCTGCCTTTACACATGAAGGAAGCCCAAATATCTGTCTTCACTCAGCCCTATTCCTTCCCATCTTGGAGCCAGTGGTATTTAGTAAAATGTCTCTGGCATCCAGCAAATGATATCCAATCCCTCCAAAAGTAAGATACAAAGAAGCTGAACTGTAGACTCCTTGGTGCTCTCTGAGTTTGTTTGTTTTCTTAGATGTTTTATTACCAAACTAGGTAACAGCATCAGTTTTGGTAATGAAACCTCTGCAGGAAAACGACCTAGCTCAGAGAGCACCAAGGACCCCACAGTTCAACCCTGAGCTATAAATATTCTCTTCTAGATGTTGAACTATAATGCAGGTGCAAGTATTTTTTTTAACGATGGATAATACTTTGAAAACATTTTTTGGGCTTCTTGGCAGAGACAAGCATGGCAGGACCTGATGTCTTTCCCAAGGGAGGCTGGGGCAGAACATCGAGGGTACATTTTTCATATTTTAGGAACCTTGGCAATTATTGATAATAAGCTAATTCTGTCTGGGGAATGGGACAATTTGTCACAGCCAACTTGCCATGGCCAATTCGCTGCAGCAAGCTCACCACAGCCAGCTGGCTGTGGGGCAACTGGCCACAGCCACTTAGCCGCAGGACAACTCGCTGCAGGACAATTTAACAATTCTATTTAATTATTTAAAATAAATAAAAATTATTTTTATTTTTACCATTCACATTTTATTCTTTTGCATCCTTTCTTTAATGATTCTATTCCACCATTTCTTCGATATTAGTGTAACTCTTGCCCCACAGTGAGTTGTCCTGTGGTGTGTTGGCCGTGGTGAGTTGACTGCAGCAAATAGTCATAGACCCTTCTGTCTGAGGCTTTGTGCATTTATTTCCTTTCATGTGCCCCCAAAAAGCAAAGAAAAATTAAAGAATCACAGTTCAGGCAGTTCACCACTGAATTTAGGAGCACAATCTGTGGAAAATTAGAGGGATGTGATAGCAATAGCAATAAGACTTTGCAGCCCTCTCCAAGCAGTTTACAGGGTCCTCATTTTAATCACCTCAGAAGAACGGAAACCTATGTGCTATTGACCCCTGTTGAAACTGACATGTGAACTGTAATACTGAAGAATGGTTATATATGCGTGGCTATATTCAGCAACTGAAGTAAGTTGCCCTGTTGCCTTTGTGTTTAGATTGTTATTATTCTGTACAAACACGGTGTTCTGGAAAGCTTTACAACACCCAGCATAAGATGCTATTTTTCATACAATCCTAATCCTGCAAATGTTTTTTTTTAACTGAATAATAATGCATTTCAGGAGAAAGACGTGACCCCTGACAACAGACTGCTGATGAAAATGAAGAACCTCTCATGCCCACCAGAATCTTTGAAATCCTTTACAGCTGGAGGGACCACCTCTTCCATCACAGACTTCTTTCTTGCTCTGACCCTCTGCAACATGGTGGTGGTCTCCACAGCAACTGAACCAAGGCAAAGGGTAATCTTTCACTTTGACTGCTTTGCTAATTGAGGAAGAATGTTTTATTAATTTATTGAATATAATAGTTGAATGTATATGGCAACCACTCTCAAACAGGGAAGAAAGAAATCTGGCTTTATGTCAAGGGAGAATATTTCTGTAATTTTGGCCTTCAATAATCCCAGTTAATGTCCAGGATTCCCTACCTTTGTGTGAATGAATTTAAACTACATCCTACTGAAAGAGGAGAGAAAGTGCAAGAAAAACAATAATTCATTGTACAGAAACAAGTTTCAAGCAATCCTTTATCAAGGGCAATACAAAATAATAACATATAAATTACAATTTTATTCATATAAAAAATCTGTAATTGAGAAAAGAGAAGACTGACATTCAATAGACCATATTGTTGGAATCTACAACAAAAGAAACACATTTTGAAATGAATGAACTAATTCTATTTACTTTTTCTCTACATCTTTGAAAAAATGAGAATATCAAATAACCTGGACCAAATCCAAAGTACATCCACTCTAGGAAGAAAAACATCCACTTTAGAAAGAAAAAGGTGAAACTAATTAAATTCACATTTTAAAAAAGCATCAATTTCTTTTATTACTTTTTATGGTTTATATTCCCATGTTTAAACATGAACTCACAGATTCTCTAAAAGGTTCTTCAAAAAAAAGACCCTCCCAAAAGCCTGTATTTTTTCTCTACTAAATTATGAAGAATAAAGTCAGAGAAATAGGTTTATTTTAAATAATACATTTAAGCTACCTGTGCTTATCAGCTAAAACATGCCAATTAAAAGTCTCTAGCAAACTTACTCTGAGAAAAAATAGCCAACATGAGGATTAACATGAGGATCTTTTCTTCTGTAAAAAAATGTTGCTCTGTTCTTAAAGGAAAACCAATATATTTAAACTGAATAATAACCTTAGGATATATCATATTTCTTGGTTATAACAAAAATATTAATTTATTAATTGCTACAGTCAAAATTTGAGTCATATTGCAAGTTTTTATAATTTTATTAAAAGTTTTTTTAAGATAGATTTTTATTACACTTTCCATAAGTTCTTTATAGAACACTACTTTATCCTCATTTGGGGCACAAATTCCCCATGTCAAAGTCTTAGTCCCTTTCAAATAATTTTCACCCCAACAAATCTACTATGGTCATCAGTCAATACAAGTTCTGGTTTCAGTGGAGGATTTATCCAAGTGATTTAGAGCCCATTGCTGATGGAGATGGATGGCTAAGAAATATGAAATATAAAAAAATTAAAATATATATATACAAAACAACTCCATTTCTTTTTTAATTTTTGCTGAAATAAATTCTTCACCTAAGTTTTATAATTTGTGTCTTTTTTCCAATATGTGTCACTTGTAGAAAATTGTTTTTCAATTGATTTTAAATGATTTTTTTTCTCTTTTGAGAAGTATTTGCTTCATTTATATTCTATGTTAAGCATTTGTAATCCATAATCAAGCCAAAAATTTAGAAAGGTCAATATGTGTAGTTCAGTATCACCCCTTTCAGTTTCCTGTTGGACCTGCTGAAGGTTTTGTGCACTCTCATTTGACACCTCCATTTGAAACGCTTTGATTTTTTGTAAAAGTTCCTTCACCTTGTTATTGCAATTTTTATATTTTATCCCATCCTGAAACTCACTTCTTTTTCAGAACTATTTTATGCACTCAGAAAAGTCCTTGTGGTTGAGCAAAGAAATACAATGCTCAGCTTTCTCCCTCCATCATCCCTTACATTCTAAATCAGAGGTCCCCAATCCCCAGGTGCAGACCAGCACTGCCAAGAACCAGACTACACAGGCAAGTGAAGCCCCATCTGCACACATGTGGGATCCAGACAGCACGCAAAACCATGTCCCCCCCCCAGTCTGCAGAAAAACCGCCCTCCATGGAATTGGTCCCTGGCACCCAAAATGTTCAGCTCAGTGTAACCCAATAAAAAGAATTTTAGAACAGCATGAATACTCTACAATACTCTAAAGTATTAGCAAGATGCTACCCATGGATAGGATAAGCCTGGGAATGTTGTTTGGTCATTAATCATATTTTATATACACACTTTTTCTTGCATAGTTTGTTTAAATAATCTTCTCCATAAACCCATATAGAAACTGGGTGGAATACACAAATGGCAATGCAAACTGTCATGCAGTAAAATGGCTGACTCATACATCTCTATCTTTAATTCATTCTTCTATTTGCAGTGAATAGGAGCTTATTAAAAAAATAATCTATCTTTCTATACAATAAGAAAAACTATCATCTTCATATAGAACATGAGTTGGCCATTTTTCACCCTGGAACCAGTGTGATTTCTTGCCTAAACTAAGATCCACGAAGGGCACAATCAGTAAATGTCATTATAAATACACACTTTTTCTTGCATAGTTTGTTTAAATAATCTTCTCCATAAACCCATATAGAAACTGGGTGGAATACACAAATGGCAATGCAAACTGTCATGCAGTAAAATGGCTGACTCATACATCTCTATCTTTAATTCATTCTTCTATTTGCAGTGAATAGGAGCTTATTAAAAAAATAATCTATCTTTCTATACAATAAGAAAAACTATCATCTTCATATAGAACATGAGTTGGCCATTTTTCACCCTGGAACCAGTGTGATTTCTTGCCTAAACTAAGATCCACGAAGGGCACAATCAGTAAATGTCATTACCACATCATAGCAAGCAAGACCAAGACTTTTTAACCCTCTTGGTGTGTGCATGCATATGGGGGGAAGTGAGTTGAGAGGCAAAATTAGATTGTAAACCAGGCAGATGAGTAAGAAAATCTTTTAGTCACTTAACCACCATAGACCAGAAAAAAGGCACAATCATTTGAGAGTTGGGGATTTTTCTGAGGCTTAAGACACCCACTTTTCCCCTTAAACCATTTATAGAGCTTAAAACACTGAAGGAGTACCCAGAAATTTCAGTTATACCCATTCTGTCTCAATCATTAAAAAGGGTGCTATGTAAGTATCTCAATTCCTAAACTGCTCATGTAGAGCTTTGATTTCTATCTACATAAGAAAGTCAACAAAATTTCCCCCAATCTAGATGTCCAATTAAGGAGCCCCTTGGTTTGAGTAAAGGCATTACTCAGCACCTTTTTCATGTTTCCTCTGTTAATGTGAAATGGTCCAATTTCATATTAGCTATGCTGCAGAATGTTTTCTTTAATTAATCCCAATTCCCTCTTTTCTCTTAAGGTTACAACTCCATCACTGATGAAGCAGTCAGGACTCTCCCTGGAGAAAATTCACCAGCTGTTCCAGTGGCTGAAGTTGGCAAGCCTCAGCCAGACATCGATTCAATCAAGTTCAGACTTAGGAGAGAGCATTAACACTGAGAGCAGCACAGCCTCTGCTGAATCAAATACAAAAGATGAATGTCCTACTCAAAGCTGTTCCAGCTTAACAGATGATGACAGTCTTAGAAGGGAGTCCTTCAGTGAGAATGACCTCTGTGGGGTTTCAGATCCTTCTCCAAATGAGAGGAGCTTTGCAGGCAGAGACCATGGGCCTTTGCAGGGAGAATTTTGTTATGAGGCAGAAAGCCCAGATGAAGCAGCTCTAGTCCACGCAGCCCATGCCTACCAGTTTACATTAGTCTCCAGAACTCCTGAACAAGTGACTGTAAGGCTGCCGGAAGGGACTCTTCTGACCTTTGACCTCTTGTTCACATTGGGATTTGATTCCAGCAGGAAGAGGATGTCGGTGGTAGTGAGGCATCCCCTCACCAAAGAAATCATAGTCTATACCAAAGGGGCAGACTCCGCCATAATGGATATATTGGAAGACCCTACCAAAGGTAAAGAACCAATGAACTAGGAGGAAGGCAAAGCTTGGGTTGTTGGACAATATCTTCAAGATTTATAGATTTTTGTTTGTAGCAGAAACTATATACTTAGAAACTGTAGTGAAAATGAGAGCAAGGATGTTGATTTATACAATTAGAAAGGATATTGAACAGACTAATTAAGATTTGCAGAAAGCCTACATTAATTTGTTTTTATGAGCACTGTATTAAAATGGTAAGAAACGAGCATAGTGATTCTCTAATAGACAAACTGGTAATTAACAGTAAGCTCTTAATAATAGTAATCACATTCTAGGGCAGGGATAAGGAACCCCATAACCTGCAGAGCTTTGCAGCTACCACTTCAGCAACCCTAGCTAAAATGCCAAAGATGAAAAATGCTAAAAATTCGGCAGCATCTTAACAGCTGTCAGTTGCCCAGGTTAGATGTAATTAATAAGGAGCAAGTTGCTTCTGTGCATGTATAAAGTAGAACTGAGCCTCACGTGTGGGTGATGTTTAAGTCTTGACAGGAAAGAGAGAAAAATGCCCTCAGAAAAATGTCTTAGTTTTATGCTTCAGAAAGGTACTTAAGTATTTCATAAATGTGTGATGAGAATCAGCAGATTTCCTTTGTGTTTCACAGCTAGTGCAGCCATGGAAAAAAGGATAAGAAGAGTGAGAACACAAACACAAAAACATTTAGATTGGTATGCACGTGACGGTCTGAGAACTCTATGCATAGCAAAGAAGGTAATTCTTTTTTTTAAAAAAAATGGTAATAATAGCAATAATAATGATAACTACTTCAGTAAATGGCTTGTTTTGACCCTTTGAACCAGTTCCCCAATGGCAAAATGTTTTTTTACTTAGATTAATTTTCTAGTGCTCTTACTGCCCCCTCATATGAATCATTTTAAAATGAAGCTGAAGGAGAGCAATACTCTAATCCAATCTTTTGACATCTGTTCTTCCTGTTGCTATCCTCATTATTACTAACTTTTGGATATCAAAAACATTTGCAATCAAATAGAGCTTCTCTGTGATTTCTTGAAACATTTAATATTCCGGATAGGCTGATTAATCATACCGGTAGTGTAAATTACAAGCTACAGTGTTTTTCCTGCTTTATTTCAGAAGAAGAATCAAAGCCTGCATAAACATTCTTGGACAGCTCCAGAATAAGTGTTATGTGAATTACCTTTGGTCGATGATCAGAAAAACTGTATATTTGGAAGTTATTGTTCTCAGTAGCACTGAGTGTTAGGTTGAAATATTAGGAGAAAAAAATACTTTCATTATGAAACCTTTACCTAATAGGAGAAAGAAACAGCAGAAAATCCATCATCATGACCTGAAGACATGCAGCAGCTTATTGGCAGAAATGGCCTACCTTTAATTCCAAATCCATATTGCCTCTTTACAATATGCACAAGGTGGAATGCAAAACAATGTAAAAAAAATGTTTTTCCAAAAGGAAAAACATGCAGCATTTTGCTCATAGAGCAGCTGAAAAATCAAACATCTATATTAATAAAACTATTTTAGTCTGACAGTGGAGGGGTGTTAAAGAAGGGACAAAGCTGGGCACGCCAGAATTTTTAGAAGAGAGGTCTCTTGCATTCCTCCCTCTGATAATAACAGAACAGAAAAAGAACTTCTTCAGAGGATCTTAAATCCTGAGTAAGGGCATATGAGAGAGGTTTTTTTTTTCTTTCAAACAGACTGATCCCAAATTGTGGAAAGCTTTCTAGGGGATAACTAGCACTTTGAACTGCGGCCAGAAACAGCTTGGAAATCAATAATGCTCTTGCAGTAAGGGAGATATGCCCACTAAAACTGAAGGTCAATTGCCTGCCTGCAGCATTTTATGCCAATCAAAGTTTCTGAATCATTTTCAAAGATTAGTTCATCGTGATAGTGTTAATGAATATATATCATATATATGATATAATGAAGACATGTATCATCATCTAACATCTCCAGGAATAGGTGCAGTTGGCACACTATCTGTAGCTGTGCAAATGTGAACTCACGGCCAAATAGTGAGTAAAAGGAATCACAGTTCCTTCCAACACAGATGGAATCCCTGATCCCCAGTCTGTCTTAGACATGAACATTTTCAACTTATTTGGATTAAGCTTCTTTTTGTTGTTTCCTCATGTAATCCTTTATTGACAGTAATAATCATTAAATAGCCATCTTGGATTTAGGTGGAAAAGACATACAGAATTACATCTCATAAGGATTTGGCAGTATCAGATGTCAAGAATGTGAACAAGCCTCTCAGAAATTTTAGGCGCATTTTAAATAGAGTGGTGGAGAAAATAAAATTCTGAAGAAAACCATTATCACCTTCTAGATCAGGGGTGTCAAACTAACAACATCACATGATGTGTCGTGATGTATCGCAACTTTTTTTCCATTGTCAGCAATGGGGTGGGCGCGGCTTCAGCATGATGCATCTGGCCCGTGGGCTGGCAGTTTGACACCGCTGTTATAGATAGTCACCACTGGAGACACCAATCTCTCCAACGCCCATCCCATCCTTGAGAGAGTCTTTGGAAGAACATCTTAATAATTAATATTAAATGCTGTAATATTAGTATCATTAGTATCAAATCATACAACATTCCAGCAAAACAAAACAGACTTTTCCACTGTCTGGTTCTTGGTGCTTATTGTTGTTTCCTGAGCCTGCAGATGCAGGCTCGGGACATTGCAAGGGTCCCAGGCTTTGCAAAAGCTGTCCGGGACCAGACTGAGTGGCACCGGCTTTGCGCACATGTGCAAGGCGCGAAAAGGGCCTTATTATGTAACCATGTTGTCCGGAGATCTGGGCATATAAAAGGAGGCCTGTGTGCCTCTGCTCGTTGTTGGAGTTTTGGCTGAAGTACAATAAAGAGTGTTGTTCTACAGAGATGTGTCCTATTCCTTCACCTTCGTTTCAAGGACTTAACACTTATCATCTGCCAAAGTGATACCAAACTCTGTCAATAAGAATTTTCTGAAACTATAACACTTGGTTTGCATTAATGTAATTAAGACATGAGGCTTTTTTATTATTATTCCAGTTGTACAATTTATGGTTTTCTTGCTCAGTCATTACAATCTCATTGCTGTGTAATAAATGCCTTTACGGTGACTGGCATCACAGGTTAGCAGACTTTCTTCTTGCACATCGCACCACACCTTGCACAGCCACCAGAAAGAGCCCGGCTGAACTTCACTGGGGTCGCCGGCTCATTACTAAGCTGGACAGACTGCACTCAGACCAGGGGGCTTCTCTGGGTTTGCATCCTCGGGCACCGAGGAGCCTGCAAGTGGGTGCTCCAGTTTGGACTCGGAACTATGGGCCTGGGCATCCGTGGGTACCAGCAGTTGTCTGCAAGGTCTCGGGTCCTCTGTCCTATGAAGTGTCCTTGGAAGACAGCCGCGTTCTTCGGTGGCACATAGATCAGCTGCATGTGAGGCTGGATTTGCACCCTTGTACTCCTGGTTCTGCACTGGGGGGGGGGGGGAGGAAGGTCATATAGTGCATTTTGAGGATCAATGTCAGCAGCCATTATGTTCAGCTGAGGAGAACATTGATTCCCCCATCCCTAGATTCCGCAAGTGCTCCGAACAGGAATTCATGGGGCAGAGAAGTATTCCACACACCCAGATGCACTCCAGCCAGGGAGTCACCCCGGAGGCATCCATATATTCCACACAGAACCAGTAACAATCCAGACAGGGAGACTGACCAGGGGTATCCACATAACTCATATAATGCGCAAGAACTGGCAACACAGCAAGGGAGCAGGTTCAATTCTGCAATTGTCCCCAGAAGGAGGTCTTCTGTAAGGGGGGGCAAGCAGAGAGGCTGCTCCCGATTCTGGAACCTCAGGCACCACATTGGGGTCCACGGGATACAGGGGGCCTGTAGCCACTCTTGATTATCCCCCCACGAACCATGGAGGCAAGGGACAGTGCTCCCAAGAAGGGTCCATTGTGGATCCGGGGACTACCACCCCTCCAAGAGATGTTGGGTTGAGTGTAGAGGACTCAGCCATCAACAGAGGGGCAGATCAACCAGGGGGCCAGCAAAGCCCTGACTTACTGAGCCTGGCAGCCGAGCAGGTAGGTCAGGCAACAACTCCAGGGTCTCCTGAACTAAGTGGCCATCCATGTCTTGCTTACCAAACATAGAGGGTCATGGACTGGACCCAGGAAACTCTCCTGGTCCAAGGAAGTCGCAAAAGACCAAGGCCCCCCCCCAAATATCTTTCAGACTTTGTAAAATTGCTGTCCAGTTACAAGGGGTACTACCCTTAAGAATACTGTAATAATGTATTTTGTTTTGGTTATGATTAAGTGTCTTGTAATAAGGAAGCAAGGATAGGAAGTGTGAGTGGTGGCAACAGTAAGGAATCCCTTCCATGCTTGATTGTCAGGGTGTTCCAAGCTAGGGGGAGGGGTGTTGTGTCCTGAGCCTGCAGATGCAGGCTCGAGACATTGCAAGGGTCCCAGGCTTTGCAAAAGCTGCCTGGGACCAGAATGAGTGGCGCCGGCTTTGCGCACGTGCGCAAGGCGCAAAAAGGGCCTTATTATGTAACCATGTTGTCCAGGGATCTGGGCATATAAAAGGAGGCCTGTGTGCTCATTGTTGGAGTTTTGGTTGAAGTACAATAAAGAGTGTTGTTCTACAGAGACGTGTCCTATTCCTTCACCTTCGTTTCAAGGACTTAACACTTATCATCTGCCAAAGTGATACCAAACTCTGTCAATAAGAATCTTCTGAAACTATAACACTTGGTTTGCATTAATGTAATTAAGACATGAGGCTTTTTTATTATTATTCCAGTTGTACAATTTATGGTTTTCTTGCTCAGTCATTACAATCTCATTGCTGTGTAATAAATGCCAAAAGGCAGAGCTCCTGCACCTTAGGACTGACTTTATTATTAAACAGGGTGAAACCTCAGGTGATATTATGTGAGTGGTGAGCAACAATAATTTTGAAGAACATTTACCATATCTCCTAACTTGCATGCATCCAGACTCATTGGAGGATGCTATTCCATTATCAGTGCTGAAATAGTCTTTTGTTCATGGACTTTGCAAGGGCATCCATTTCAGGCAGCATGTTCTTAGGCTTACTTTGATCATGATTCAAAGAACAGGACCTCATCTATGTTTTATCCACTGGAAATCTTTGGATATCATCTCATATAAATGCCTCTGTGGGCAGAATAAAAGTTAAAATTCTTCTCTGTCATCTCAGATACTGGCATTTGCAAACTTTAACTCATTTCTTAAACCACAGTTTCTTCTACTGAAAATGCTTTATTTTCCTTCACTAGAATTTCCCTGTCTTCCCAGAATTCTTAGTAAAATAAAACATAACTATCTTTGCTTGAAAATTAACTCAATTTTAGGCATAATACTTCATCCAATCTATGCTTCAGGCTGTGTGTTTGTAATGCTGCATACTTTGTGCTCATTTGTCAAAATACTATTAACACCTGACTCTATTTGTAATTGTGAAGTAAAACTACCTTAATATTCATAACCCATCATAGTGATGATGTATTAGAATTGCAGTTAGTAACAGCAAATGTTCTAATGACTGAGTCAAATTAGAGATGTTGACCTCCACCAGCCTAATTGGCAGGCATTTAATATTTTCACTTACATGTTGACTTTACACCATGACAGGTTTTAAGTGAAGAGGAATTTCAAAAATGGCTCAACTTTCATCATGAGGCAGAAGTAGCTATGGAAAACAGAGATGAACTTTTAATGGAAGCAGCACAACATCTGGAAAGTAAACTCACTTTATTAGGTATCTTGAACTATTTATTCATTCTAGATTAATTAACCTGATATTCGTGATTACTAATGAATTACTTATATCTGGCGCTAAAATTACTTGGAAATGAGTCATTATTTAAAACAGTTCTTACCTATGTCATTTGTAAAGAAAGGATTATTACCATTGCTGCCTATGATACATTTAAAAACTATTTAATAACATGTATCAGAAACACATACAGATTTTGTACAGATATGCATAACTGCAAGTTTGCCACAGATTTATGATTCTCTCTCTCTCTCTCTCTCTCTCTCTCTCTCTCTCTCTCTCTCTCTCTCTCTCTCTCTCTCTCTCTCTCAACTGCCTGAACTAGAATTGCCATTGCCTCCTTCCTAGGACTGAGAAAAAGTGACTGGCCCAAGGTCATGCACCTGGCTTCGTCCTAAAGTCAGACTAAAACTCATATTTTATTTATTTATACAAAAACACATTTTAAACGATTCCACAGAAATTAATATAAATTAACTTACCTGAGTGCGGAGCCTAAGGTCTAGTTTCTCTCCAGTGTTTCCAGTCTTGCTTCACCATATGTGCATATGTGCACATATCCATGCTATGCATTTGCAATGTATAACTGCCAATATTGATATAGTCATATAGTTGGATCACACATGAAATAGATTTTGCAATCATTTTATCATCCTATCTATGGGAATGTAAATCAGTATCTCAATACAGGTTTAAAATTAATGTTATCTTGTTCTGAGTCAAGGGTAGCCGATCTATCTGCAGTTGCAACTCAGAAATCCAAAGCATAGAAGGACATCATTCAGGTGTAGACTACAGCAGAGGTCCCCAACCTTTTGGGCAGCAGGGACCGGTTCCGTAGAAAAAGGTTTTTCTGTGGACCAGAGAGTGCGTGGTTTTGTGTGCTACCTGCATCTCGTGGATAGAGCTTTGCTTGTTTGTGCAGCCTGGTTGCTGGCATGCCGCAGCCCAGTACTGGCCCACGGACCAGGGTGTGGGGACCCTTGCACTACAGCACATATGTCTTATAGTGCATGTTCATATCTTCTGAGCACTGATATAGACTATTTTGCTTCATTGTATTCATTGTATCCTATGAAGGCCTCTTTGCACCAATCCAGGAATTCTATAAACCTTAGCTGTCAGTCACAACTTAGCTATCCAGGTTTTATGCAATAGTTTGTATTCAATATATAATACTTAAAATTTCCAATAACATTATATTGATCCCTGTAGGAAAGATGTTATTACTCTTTCAGTAATTATTTTCTATGTTCATTTAGTCAAATTATTTTAATTGTGGAACATCTCAAGCCAGGGAATATATTTTTTTAATGTTTGTGTTGAAACAATAGTTAATCTGTTTAGTAAATGGTTTTCAGTTAAACAGGTCAGTTTTCCATTAGTTTCTCTTTTATTCTTGTGTAAGTTTTGACCTTTTTAAGGATACAGCTCATCATCCAGAACAGTGGTTCTTAACCTGGGCGATATTGCTCCCCAGGGGACGATTTCATTTTTCAGGGGGGCAATGGAATGAAAAGGGGTGACACGGGGTGAAGGAACGAAAAGGGGGCGATATGGGGGCAATGGAGCAAGAAGTTTTGGGGACATTTTTGAGACTTTTTTGTACAATGAATTGCTTTATATCTGTCGTACAAAATCATCAGATTGCTCCCTATTAATTGATTGAATTGTGTTTTCAAATGTTCCTCCAGCTAGCTTCAGTACAGAACGCCGTACATATGTGAATACACATCGCTTATCTTCATGCACGTTGCGCAGCAGCCTCTACCCATACAGTGGCACGCCATTGGCCAGAATATGGGAGATATGGGAAAAAGACTGGAAATAAATTATTTGCATCGATATGTCCTGATGACAATTTTAAAGAAAACAAAAAAAAGTGTTTGCATAAATTGAAGAATTATTTCCAATGTTGTGATTGAGAGGTTATGTTGGGGGAGGGGGGCGATGACAACTTCCTCATTGGCTCAAGGGGGTGATTCGTTCAAAAAGGTTAAGAACCACTGATCCAGAAGATAATGAAAGGCTAAAACAAATGTTCTTGTGCAATCCTATGCCTCATTGCTCCAGCAGTGGTGCAAGTGATATGTATATAATGAATGCATCCTAACCCCATAGTGCATACAGAACAGACTCTTGGCATACAAACCATTTTGCATAAGCCAGTTGTAGGAATTTAAAAAGATGGTTTATGTTCCAAAGTCCTAGAGAAGAATCTCTTGATCACAACTGTTTTGCAAAGCAATTATTCTGAAATATAACAAAAGTTAAACTTGGCATATGGGTTGCTTTATCACATAGCAATTGTTTCCTAAAATTATTCCTAATTAATGAAGACATAGAGCCTAGTTACTTGAGAGACCCTCATATCTCTCCTCATATCTGCCTGGCAGGGTAGGCGTACTCCAGTTTCCATCAATTAAATAATGCCATTTATCTAGACCCCAGAGATGTGCCTTCCCTGTGGCAGCAATCAATAACACTGATTATTTCCTTTTCATAAGGAGCAACAGGGATTGAAGACCGGTTGCAAGAAGGAGTGCCTGATACCATTTCTGCCTTCAAAGAAGCTGGAATCCAAACATGGGTATTAACTGGAGATAAGCAGGAAACAGCTATCAACATTGCCTATTCTTGCAAACTTCTAGACCAAAGAGACACTGTCTTTACCATTAATACAGAAAGTAAGGTAGGTTCTAATGGCCAGCAGAGAGACTATGCCATAATAGGTAAATATGTTCTCATGCAAACGTTTTTCAGAAAAGGGTTGAATTTTGGAGAAAAAAAGAACTGAATCCAATTATGTATTCCCATGGGTAAAAGAACCATTTGTTCTCCCCAGAAAGTTCCCCTCCCATATGTATCAAAAATCTGTTCCAGCTTCATAGTAGATTTTGAAGGTGTGGGAAGTGATGAGGAGAGGTGAGGAGAATTCTCATTGTATGAGTCAATGCTGATGTATCACTGGATTCCATGCATGCCTTTGGAAGCAGCACTGTATCTCCGCCTTCAGAACCAAACGGGATCTTGTGGATGCTAGCAACAAACTTTAAGATTTGCAAAAGAACCTGTCTCCACATGCTGTTGAGATTTTGCTTGGTGCTGAATCACAGGCTTACCATTTGTTCCTTATTTAGGAAAATTGATTCTTATTTATAAATACTAACCTTTAGTACTAAATAAGTAATCCTTCTCTGAAATAACAAACAGATGGTAAACCTACTTGCCAGATAATATTTCAGTTACCAGTGATGTAATGATAAAGGCTATTTAATTCATCTGCAATATGCAATAAAATAATACATTTAGTCATGTACTATATATGCAGTAGTATTTATCTCAATGCATCAGCAGCGAACAAACTGCAATTTCTTCTGAATATACACTAATGATAGCAAACATTGTATAACATCATTTTCCAACCTGGTGCCCTCTAGATATCTTTATTTATAATCCCAATCATACCAATCTATGGTCTCAGATCAGGAGCTCAGGTGACACATATGGGTGATGTAAATTGTAATCAAAATTCAAGAGTTATATTAAAAACATGAATATACAAGCTAAGAATTAACGAAGTACAAATTAACTATACATTAGAATTAGCTTGTATAATATACCACATTCTCCAATTTTGAATTGTTACTACATATTTGATCAAGTTACTTGTTAAATGACTTATTTAAGTCAGCACTAATGTTCTTCAATTTATGTGGTAATCCAATGGAATGAAAGATTGGAAGTAATTAAAAGCTTAGCATATACTGTTTTGTAACAGAAGAATTCTTGTTTGTAGTGCTATGCAGCTTTACAATTTATTCACTATTTTTTCCATAGGAAACTTGTGAATCACTGCTGGATATCATGTTGGAAGAGGTGCAGAAGGGTCAAGTAATTCCTAGAAAAATATGGAGTATTTTTGGCTTTAAGATGCCATTTTCTTGGTCAACCACAGGATGTCCAAATCCGGTGATTGGACTAGTAGTTGATGGGAGAGCTCTGAATACTATTTTCCAAGGACACCTCGAGCATAAGTTTCTTCAGCTTACAAAATATAGCCACTCAGTTTTGTGCTGCCGATGCACTCCCTTGCAGAAAAGCATGGTGGTTAAACTTGTACGGAATCAGCTGAAAGTGTTGACCCTTGCTGTAGGTGAGCATCATGTGTCATCAAGTCCCTGTCAGTGCTTAACAACTACATAGATACATTTTCTCCAAAACACTCTGTCTCCAACTTTGCCCATCATTTCATATTGCCTATTCATCTAGTTTTCTTGGTAAAATATAGGAATAGTTTACCATCGCCTTCTACCATAACATGATGCTTTTATCTTTGTCATTGTTACTAAAGTGGTCAATCTTCCATATTGCTGCTGCTCAGCATAGGGATCTGGCTGCTCTAGGACAGAGGTCCCCAACCTTTTGGGCACCAGGGACCAGTTACATGTACAGAGATTTTTCCATGGACCAGAGGGGATGTGGTTTTGTGTGCTGCCTGCATCCCACGGATGGGGCTTTGATTGTTTGTACAAACTGGTTGCTGGTATGCCATGGTCCAGTACTGGTCCACAGTCCGGGGGTTGGGGACCCCTGCTCTAGGATATTCTTTCTGCCTTGAATGACCCTGCTGAGAATGTACATTCTTGGCACACACACCCAGCGTTCTTTGCACATTTCTCCCAAGAACCTATACACACATCCTAGGGCTGAGGCCCAAGATCACCCATCTGGCTTTGTACCTAAGGAAGGTCAGCAATTCACAGCTTGTTTCTAGTCTAGTAATTAAACCACTGCATCAAATGAGCTGTCATCCATCCATGCATCTAACTATCCACCTATCAACAAGCTAACTATTATCTTAAGTCTGGAAATGTGAATCTGAATCAACTGTTTCCTCGGTTTTGAACTAAGATCAAGTGTAAGAATGGGGTCCTAGTATTGTGTTTGATATGTTAGTGAAACATAACATATCACCAAAAAATGACTTGTTTCTGCTGAGAAAAAGGCAAAGTTGCTGAGCAAACGTATAAAAGAATTGGAAATGAAATTGTTGTTTTCACTGTCAAAGATTTATAATAAAGTCAGCAGTGACTTGGAACAAAGTGAATGGGAAGAAGTTTATTTCTCTTCTTCATACTACTCAAGCAATGGCAAAATTCAAGGCAAACAAAAAGAAGTATTTTTTCCTTCTATATTTAATTACACAATGGTTCTATATTTAATTACATAATGGTTTATGCCTCTGACATAAACCATATATTGCAGAATGAGAGATGTGCTCAACAAATATTTCCATTGCCTTACATACTATCTGCCTACTTTTCAGTCTGAGAGAAATAAATGTTTCACTCTTTTCTAGGTGATGGTGCAAATGATGTAGGTATGCTCCAGGCAGCTGATATTGGAATTGGCATTTCTGGACAAGAAGGTATGCAGGTATGCATAATAATTGAGGAATACCCTCTTGCCCTTGGCAACAATTGATAAGATGCATATTCAGAATTTTAAGCAACTGTATTCCATATAAAAAGTGAACATAAGTATCATCTGCTCTCTGTTATAACAAGGTAAGCAATATCCTTGAGACCTCAGAGTGAGATGATTTGCATTTATAATGAATCAAATCATTTGTATGCTTACCTTGATTATTCATTTAGGCATATGAACTTCTCCCATACAAATGTCCAAAGCTATAATGTTTCTGAACAAAGACATTGTGCAGCAGAAAAAAATAAAGCAGTTGATTAACAATAAGAAGCATCATCTGGAAACTCTCTCTCCATCCCTTCCCCCATCCTTCCTAAGGGGGTTAATTGTTTGGTAGAAACATCACTGGAAGCATCCAAATAAAAATAAGCTTACTTTTCTTGTTGATTGACATTTATGGACAGAGGCTGAATCAGAACTACGCTGTAATCCAGTAAAACCATAGATGGGTTGTCCAGCCCCTACCACTAAGTCCATATTCTCTGCACAGGACTATACTTGATGTGGAATTGTACTGGATTACAAGCAGTACTGGAGAATTTTTTCCTCAAGAAGTATTCAGTGCTTTGGGTTGTTTCATCCAAAGCTGTTCTTGTTATTTTAGATTCAGATGGGTGATTTGTGGCTCCAGAGCTACAAGAGGTTCTCCAAGTGCTTGTTTGTCACTCTCTTCTGTTGCCGGATCTGGAGAAGAGAAACATGCACAAACAATAGGGCATTAAAATAGACAAGATGGCTTTCACCCAAAAATTAAGGAGAATTGGGGAAATCTAGTTCCATCCATGTGTATAATATATTCCCGCCCTCTTTTCCTCATTATTTTAGAGTGATGTGAAGCCTTTAGCTATCCAAAACTGGTTACCTAAGTCTAACTGTCATAAGATCACTTTCTTATGAATTAAATTGTCACACTGGGTTTGGAAAGGGAGAGAGCTGCAGTCATAATGAAACTCTAGCACATTCATCTTGTAACTTATCTTCCAATTATATTAGCGTGTAACTTCAGAATTCCCGGTTAACTTTGGTGATTCTTCTCTAGGAATTCCAGAAATGATAACTAAACAAATCTAAAGAGCAAAAGTTTGGAAAAGCTACCATTGAAGAATTTAACATTAACCCAGAGACACATTATATTTCCCATTCTTGCATTTTATTATTTTGACTTTTGCCTGCAGTCCTGATATATATTGGATCAGTAAAACTTGAAAATATAAATTGTATCATTTTATATATGTTCTTCATTTCAGGCTGTCATGGCCAGTGATTTTTCAGTATCTCAGTTTAAGCACCTCAAGAAGTTACTTCTAGTCCATGGGCACTGGTGCTATTCTCGCTTGGGAAAGATGGTGCTATACTTTTTCTATAAAAATGTGGTAGGTGTTTTAACTGCTTATTTCATCTTGCATGCCATCCATTATTGCTTGTAACAATAGGAACAATTGTTGTTTATAGATTACTTGACTGGAACCCTGCGCCAGGAGCTTACAAGTTCCAAAAATATAATAAGGAAATATTCCATAATGTCATTCTTGAAATATTCAAGAGTGAAAAATCTTTTGGTTAAATGGATTGATTCATAAATAGATTCATTTTCACTTAGTTTCTATAAAATAAATTTCATTCTCTAATTTCCTATTTAAAATGTTATATTGACAATCCTTAACAGAATTGTGGCTCCATTGCTGCACATAAAATGGCTGATTGTAATCATGGCAAGTAGAAGTTGATCCTGACTTGAACTCTACAGGCTGACAACCACTTAATTTGATGGGAAATCTATGCTACCAATAGATGACCACACTAGCCAGCTTTAGCCACATTGTAGGAAATTCAATTTGGCATCCATGTTCTCAGAGCATAGACATTTTAAGCATGCAATTAACATGCACCTCTTGGGATCTGGACCAACTAGCACCTCCAAAGGGGGGGGGGTTTAAAAAAAACACAAGATAGTGATCATGGCTGCATAATCAAAGCCAGAGTTCCTTTGCATGTGTATTGCAATGTACTCTATATACAAAATTGCATATATGTATATATATGTGTATATACACAAACACACACACACACACACACACACACACACACACATAAAGGGATGAGCTTTGATTGCATTGCTACAAGTATTATTTGGCCTTTTTTGACTCCCACTGTGAGCATTGGTGTCCAAACCTACAATTTTATAAGGACTGAGAGAAAATCAAATCTCTTTGGGGAAATGACTAAGTTGCATCATCTTAATAAATGTCATTAATTTTCCCTCTATTATTTCATTTCCCAATGTTCCATCACACTGTAAAAAAACCATGGAGATTTTCTAAAATGGTATTTAATTTTTATTTTGTCACTAATAACTCTTGGGGGGGGTAATATTAGGTTTGATGCAAGAAAAAAGTATGATTCCCATTACCAAAGAATAATGGATTTCATTACCTACATTGTTACAAATAAAAAAGATAAGGGTCTCCCCCTTCTAGTCATGTCTGACTCCGGGAGCTGGTGCTCATCTCCATTTCCTAGACAAGGGATCCAGCTTTGTCTGAAAATGCTTCAGTGGTCATTTGGCCATCACGACTATAGACCATGGCACACAGAACGCTGTTACCCTCTCACTGGTATCTATTTATCTACTTCATTTATATAGATATTTAACTCACATAATTTGTAGTAAATGAATTTTTTCTACTTTTCTTGTTTCTGGTGAATTTCATTATGTCACATACTGTTTACATTTTGTTTTTCTGCATTATTACTATCAAGGTCCTTAACACTGTTTGCTATGAAAGCAGCTAGACAATAGTAGAAAACAATAAGAGGGATTTCTCTGCCACTTATTTAATTTTTCCTATTTCATTTTTTTGTACAAAAATAAACAGAAGTGACATTTTATGAATATGTTACCTTTACAGCATACAAAATTTACATTTGATTCTGAGTGACAATCACATAGCTGCAAGGAATACAAAAGCTATTTATATTCATGAAAGAAACTCTGACTGTGAATCTCAAGTAGATGACTACAATCATTAACATAAACCCAAGGCTAACTATATATTTCATGCAAATGTTTGCCACTAAGACCTAATAATATACTGAATCTAGTCTTATTTGTGTTTAAAGTAGATTTACTAAAAACAAGTAGACATATTGTAGTCATAATTAAGTTCTGATGATTTCAGTGGGTCTCTTACTACTCTTAGCAATAGCACTTAGACTTATATACTGCTCTCTCTGAGCGATTTTACAAATGTCAGCATATTGCCCCCAACAATCTGGGTTCTCATTTTACCAATCTTGGAAAGATGGAAGGCTGAGTCAACCTTGAACCAGTGAGGATCGAACTGCCAGCAGTGGCAGAGTTAGCCTACAATATTGCATTCTAATCATTGTGCCGCCAGGGGTCCTTGGCCTGCTTAATTTGACAGTCAAATTTGTTTTTAGTTGAAAAGCAGCATTAAAAGAAATACCGTAAATGCCGGCGTATAAGACGACTTCCGCGAGCGCTGAAATCAGTGCCAAAGACGGGGGTCGTCTTACACGCCGAGTCGTCTTATACGCCGGACATACTGGTAGTTTCCAGCATATAAGACAACGTTCTAGGAATGCGGCCCGGCTATAAAGACGGGGGTCATCTTATACGCCGGGTCGCCTAATACGACGGCATATGCGGTAGTTTAAAAGTAGGAAAGTAATCAAGAGAAAGCAGTTCTCAATCCTTTTGTCCATCTGCTGTTTTCCTAATAATATCATATCATGGGTTCCAAAAATTAAGTCAGGTACATTTAAAAGCTTGAGAACGGAAACACAAACAAAAAGCAAATTAGCATGGGTAAATAGCAGGTAGAGAAAAAGATAAATATGCTTCTCTCTTTGTTCCAAAAGCTAGTTTAATTTTCTCACTCCCAGCACTTTAAAATAGAAAGAAACAGAGTTCAGTTATAAATTCTTGTAATGTAACTTTAGCCAGTCTCTCAACTTAATCAAAAACCTAATTAAAATCAAATAGCATATTGAGTTTATTTGGACTAATGCTGTGAGTCCTTGATCAGATTCTAAGAGTTTATCATGCTCTGCAAAGGCTAGGTATTACGACTAACCAAACACCTTGGATAGCAAAGGCTGGATGATGTTTCTACAGATACTTATTTTCTTCATATTTTCTCACCAGACCTATGTCAACCTTCTCTTCTGGTACCAGTTCTTCTGTGCTTTCTCTGGGGCTTCTATGATAGACTACTGGCAAATGATATTTTTCAACTTGTTTTTTACATCTGTGCCACCATTAATTTCTGGAGTTCTGGATAAAGACATTTCTGCAGAAACTCTGTTGAACCTTCCTGCACTTTACAAAAGTGGACAAAACTCAGAGGTAACACTTTTTCAAGAATATCCCATAATATAACAGCTTTCACGGTATAGCAAGACAAATATCCTTTCTAAAGTAGATGTTGGTTGGGTTCATACACTGCATTAAGCCGTATTTGTTGAATGTGGTTAATTTTCAGCTCAGTAATTCCCTCATTAAACAACTGTATTCCATTGGTTAAAAAGCATCTTTTTAAAACATTTTTTCCATGAAAGGGTGAAAAAATAGGTTAAAGAAAGCAATTTTTATAGAGTGTTCAGTGCTTTCTTCTACCATTTTTCATCGATCCAAGCTATTGTGCAAAGTCTGATCTTGCACTAAGAGAATAAATGCAACTCATACATTTTTAAACACATTGATTCTCAGTGGATCAAGCCACAGATATAAGTTGATACAATACGTGCAATAAAATGTGTTAACAAATTAGGGTGCTAGTTTAACAATTGCTAGGGTAGACTAAGATAGGGATATCCAGGAGACAGTAGGAACATCTGTGTATTTTAACTGATAGCAAAAAAAACCCTCCAAACCAAGACATTCACAGAGAAGATTATCCCACACTAAAAAGCCACAATCCTTTAAGAAGAACCTCAGCAAACTACAGTATGAGAACATTCTTTTCTGACTCTAAAAACCAGATAAAGACCTGTGGAAAATTATTGTTCATAAAACTTAGCTTTGTGCTTGTCAATCAAAATGAAATCTGAAAAGTAGCTTGGTACCTACACAGCAGACAATGCAGACTCTATAATACTAAAATTAATCAATAAGTCCCTAGTAACCTAGTTCCTCATTCTAGTTTAAGTGTGATTTATGAAACACTCTCAAGAGCAGAAATATGTTACAAAAGTCCAGTCTCCAGATAAAATACAATATTCCAATGCTGGGACAGCTATGACTAATCTCTACCTTGAAAAAGTTACACCTATCATACTAACCAAAACTGTAATGTGTTGTGATGTTTAAAGCGTTAGAGCAGGTCCAAACTAGACCCAGAGAGACCCAGCTTGAAGTCATTCATTAGCTATGGAAACTCATTAAGTAATTTTGGGCCCATCTTACCATATCGGCCCATCCTGCGTTACAAGGTGGCTAATGTGGAGATAAAAGACAGGGAGATTTCCATGGAAGCTCCTTGAGCTTGGTGGAAAAGTTATGCATCAATTTAACCCAAAAAATAATTACATTGGGAATAGATATTTTTGCCCACAAAGGCTTGTTTGGACCTCTTATGATAGTCCATCAATAACCCAAGCTCCATGCCTTCTTCTTCCATTTAAACCTCCAGTGCTGTTCTGTTTGGATAAAGATATAAGAATAAATAGGTTTATCAATTTAAATAAAAATAAATTTTAAAAAATTCAGGTTTTAGGCATACTACATTTCCTCTGTTTTTTATTTTGAAGGCAATGACAGAGAATGACACTGATGCAAATCCTGTCATTTACCACTGATTGGTGGCTTCCCCCGTGGCCATCAAGTTATAAGTGATATATCAAGAAAATATACATGTTCTGAAATTCTCTGTTCCTTTTGTGTCCTATTTGCTACAGATTTACAAACCTCTAACGTTTTGCCTTGCTATCTTGGATGCCTTCTACCAGAGTCTCATTTGCTTCTTTGTCCCTTATCTAGTAAGTGTTCAAATCACAAGGTATTCAACTTTTTCTAAACCAGACTTTCTCAGCCTGTTGCTCTCAAGCTCAGATTTGAAGCATATCAGACTTGAGAAGGCTGATTCGTAAAACTCAGTGCTTCTGTTTCATATTTTGATATATCAGTATTATTTTATCTAATTTTTCAGGTATACCAGGATTCTGATACTGATGTTTTCGCTTTTGGAACGGTAGTCAACACTGGTGCCCTTCTTACTATTCTTTTTCACCAAGCTTTAGAAATTCAGATGTGGGTATGTATATAGTTTCAATAACTATCCCAGCTTGCTGGCTGGCTGGCTGGCTGGTTGGTTGGCTGGCTTGCTGGCTGGCTGAATGGAAACAGTGTCCTGGCTGTTAAGGTGATAGTCATGTACTTTTGTGATACTATATTTGGGTGTCTGGGTCTGAGCCCCTACCACCTTGGATTTCAAAGAATTATTGAATGATGAAAAAGTAGTGAAATGCCAATGTTTGCAGATAGTGTAATACACAGATTCAGAAATAGTATAACTGTGAGAGGGATCTTGGAGTCCTTATGGACAATCACTTAAATATGAGCCAACAGTGTGCAGCAGCTGCCAAAAAAAAAGCCAATGCAATCCTAGGCTGCATTAATAGAGGGCTCAAGTCAAGATCATGTGAAGTTTTAGTACTACTTTAGAAATCCTTGGTAAGGCCACACTTGGAATACTGCATCCGGTTTTGGTCATCACAATATAAAAAAGATGTTGAGACTCTGAAAAAAGTGCAAAGAAGACCAACAAAAATGATTAGGGGGGTGAAGACTAAAACACACAAAGAACATTTACAGGAATTGGGTATGTCTAGTCTTTTCATTCTAATATTTGAAGAGCTGCCACAAAAATGAGAAGGTCAAACTATTTTCCAAAGCACCAAAAGGCAAGACAAGAAACAACAGTTGGAAACTAACCAAGAAAGAAGCAACCTAGAACTAAGGAGAAGTTTCCTAATGGTGAAAACAATCAACTAGTGGAACAGCTTGCTTTCAGAAGTTGTGCGTACTCCATCACTGGAGTTTTTTTAAAAGAGATTGGACAACCATTTGTTTGAAATGGTATAGGGGTTGAGCAGGGGGTTGATCCCTTCCAACTCTGTTATTCTATGTTCTATGAACTATGTTCCAAATTAATACTAGGCAATCACAGCTATTCAGTTTATACTATTTGAATTAATTGTTCATGCTTTTGAGCAGACATAAATACCTTCACCCTTTTTCAATATTTCTCTGCATAAAAGTATCATTCCCCTCATTTCTATCAGAAATGTTTATGTATTTCAGTAAAATTTTACATAATTACAAATATTATTGCTCGTTGCAGTTAGAGAAGACTGCAGATAATATTTTTGCTGAAAATGGAAGAAAGTTAAAGTTCTAGTCCTGGCTTAGGCACATAGTCAGCTGAGTGATCTTGAGTCTGTTACTCTTAGCCTTAATAAAGCCACTTCTGAAAATTCTTTCCAAGTAAACTGCAGAGAAAACCCAGGTAACACTGACTCAAAGGTACAGACATACAAAAATGCAATAAATGGACACCATGGCTTGGAAACCAATATTCATTTGCACAAAGCCAACAAAAAAGCATAACTTTTCAAATGCCACAGAAAAGATACTGCTCTTTCCCACCAGACCCACACTGGTCTTGGAAAGACCTGACAGAAACCATTAGAGTTCATTCCAAAATTTGACATTCCTCAATGCAGATTCCTCATTGCTGCAATTTTACATTCAGATGCCTTTGTTTGCATAGAAATTGCACTGCCTCAGAATAAGATTGTTACTATGGCATCCTGATGTTCTGCACCAAGACATTCCTGGACAGGAATCGCAACTAAAAGTTTTATTTCTCTAATTGCTTTTCTTCTGTTCACAGACCCTGTTCCATGGGATTGCAATAATTGGGAGCATTTTGCTGTACTTCATCTTCTCATCCATCTACAATGCAACCTGTGTCCTTTGTAACCATCCCACAAATCCCTACTGGATTATGGAGATGGAATTTTCAGAGCCAAGCTTTTATTTCACAATCGTTATTACGCCAGTCATAGCACTTCTTCCAAGGTTTGACCTTTTTTTTTTCTTACTTGTTCTTGTATGTGGTCCCACTCAGTAACTAGGGATTACAAAGTTTGATTAAATGTTGTTCCAAGAAACAGAAAGCCTTATCTCAGCAGTATGGTATTATTTAAGAAAGGTCTTAATTGAATATTGCAAATAAGGCAACTAGTACCATGCAAAAAGACCCTGATGGATTCTTTAAATCTGATTTCCAGAGAACAATCCTTACTAGTCTGTTTTTTTTTCCCCATTCCCACAGAAATCTGCCAGCCAAGAGCCAGTTGCTTGGTATAGCTGTCATTTTATGGAAGGGAAGCTTAAAATCCTTGACAGCCACATCCTTTAATGCAGTAACAACTTTCTCTGTACAGTTTGGGGAAATTGAGTTGACATGCTTTGCTAGAATATAAAAGCTTTGTTGTGTTATGTGATGCCTTTTTTTTTCTTTTTTGAGAGGCAACTCTTGAGTACTTCAAAGGAAAGAAATATGTTTCCATGTTACAACTAGTGTCACAGCTCAGACTTCTCCAGCTGTCATATGATCCTTAGAAATAGCACAAAGATTGACTATCTGCTTTTCCTTCTTAACACCCAAGGTCTAAGGGTTATGAAAAGAATTCCCTTTGGAAGTCTTATTCTTCATGAGTTCCACTTTAATCTCTTACTACAAAACACATTGGTTTGAGGGCAGAGCATTTTAGTTAGTTTCCCTAACATTACATTCCTATGAATTTTCTGTAAAATGAGAAGTTTTTTTCTTATTGTAAAACTGATATTCAGAATGAGGTGTCATGGGAGTAGCTGCAATAACAGAAGGAAACTTGAATGAATGCATCCAAATGTATTTATAAATGTTGGCTTTTAGTATTAACATGAGCAAGCCTGGATAAACTTCAGAGTTGTTCCCTTTTTTTTTTCTCCTTTCCTGACATAACTATAAGAAGAGCAGAAGTTTCCTCTTCTTTTCATAACATACCTTCACTGATATCCAAATCCAGACAAAAGTATGTGTAATACTATTATGGTGTCTGAAACAAGCCAACTTCAAAACGTAGTTTATGAGCTGCCATATTTCAAAAAACAGAATAGGCCTCACGTACATATGATGCTCCAAGACATTTGGGGCAACTGACAATTTCTCACCTTGCTATTGCTGCTGATTTACTGCTATTCTGTCACTGCATTTGCAGCAACATTTCCCATGAGTCCCTACATTTGTCAGCTTCCAACTGTTAACACTAATGTTATATAGAGTGTATGTTGCATTACTGCTTCTTTTACAGCTTTTTCATGCCAGGACTAGGAGGAACCTTCTGCACATCTGTGTCTTTGGAATCAGTTGCATTTGCTTTGCTGTCTTGCAGGGAGATATGAGGATAAAAAAAATATCCTCAGAAGTCACAGAACCCTTGAGCTGAGCCACAAAAAGAAGTGAGGATGGGCTGACTAAGGGCAGAAAGGACAGAAGAGTGATGGAGGACTTGGTAGAAGCCTTGACAGTTTAAATACTCTTCCCTGCAATCTTGAACACACTAAGGTTGCTGGAAAGGAAAACCATGATTTTGTTTATATCAGAGAGCTATAGAGAAATACACTTATCATTGGCTATGACCCACAGACTGGCATTACTAAACCACTTTTTTCCTGAAACATAGCAGCTGGCCTTAACATGGTTGAATGGCAGTTTATAACTGTCCATAATCACCATACAAAACCCTAGCCCAAGAACAGGCAAACGGATATACTCTATATGTTCTGGATTGTATTTCCAAATTATCTTGCTATGTCTGAACTGATGTGAGTTATGCCTTATTTGTTTGGATAGTACCAGGTTACCTATGCATCTTTAGCCATGGCACCACCTTGGCAGGTAGATGGAAACTACCTTTGTGACACATCTTTTGTGACACTAACTTTCATAAAATTATGAGTTTCCTCATTCTAGCTTTTGTTCCCTTTCTGTATCTTGGTGTGTACTTTGCAAAAGTCACCTCCAGTGCCTTTGGAATCTATATTCTATGTGTAGTATTTTAGAACTGTTTTCTGTAGAAAGTGGAATCTTTATATGAATAACTAAAAATACCATTCACATTATACTTCATCTAGCATCTACAAAATGAGTGAGAGCTCATCTTGAAATAATAACTAGTGTTTTTCTTTGCTTTCCCTAGATATTTTATATTGGCTCTACAAGGGACTTTCAAAATATCTTGCATCCTGAAAGCACAACAACTGGAAAAGTTGCCAAAAGAACAACAGGACTGGGAAATAAAGAAATGGAAGCTGATAAAAGAAGGCCCAGCAATTCACAGTAATGTTCCTAGTCAACTCAATGAAAATATCTGTGATCATGCAGCACTTGGGCTTCCTGAGACTAATGTTCTTCAGGGGCTTGGGCCTCCACAGAAAGAAATGCTTGGAGAAAGGACTTTGAATGAGGAAGCCAAGGACGATGGCAAAAGATGCATCCAGGAAGAGACTGGACAACTTTCAGCTGTGGAGCCATTTACTAGCCAAATCCCACAGAACACTGAAAGTTCTGCTCAGCGAAGCCATCGGAGGTCTGTGAGTGCAGTGACTTTGTGAAGGAGGCACAGCTTTCAAGGAGGAAAAGTAAACATTGACTGCTTTCCCAACACCTGTGGCTTCACTCTCCATGAATAAAGGCAATGGAAGGAACAATATAATTCCTGTTTATGTTAGCATAGCAGCAATATCTGGATGGGAGACCTAAAATAAAATTTCACCAGCATACCGAGAAATTGTGTTTTGACTGTACAGTGCAAGACATCATGGAAGCATATGGCTATATATTTCTTGTGGGGAGGAAAGGGGCTCAAATAGTTTGGTGGACAATTGCACAAAATTTCCTTTGTGGGAACTTGAAAATAGACAATATTTGTAGGGAAGGGCTGTTTCTTTTTTCCAGTGAAATTTCAGAATCATGCCTCATTTCTGCCTTGCTGAAGAATAGAAGTTATATAGCTTCCAAACTTCAACATTTTAGAATAAAATGATTGTGTTTAAAGATATAAAGACATAAACTAGTAATCTAGGTATTTTAAGTGGGAATCCAAAACTGTTTTGAGGTTTTTTTAAAGAAATCTGAAATATACTGTATGTACATATGTAACAAATATTGCATATAGGTATATGTGAAAGACTGCACATGCCAAGTTGTTTTTTAATGGCCAGATAGTTATTTAGTTATTTTAGGTAACTAGCAACCTAGTGATCTAATTCCATATTTGGAAATAATATTTGTTGATTTCTGAGGAATTATCATCCAAGATGTATTTTTAAGATCTTTACCTCTACTTTGAATGGGATGCCCAGGAAGGAAGGTGGATCAGGGATCTAGAAAGTAAAGAGAACTCCTAGGAAGAGAGAGTGAAGGAAGGAACCAAGGAAAAGTAAATCCTATTAAGAGAGAATGAGGGAAGGAACCAAGCCAGTTCAGCCTTGAAATGGGCATAATAGCACCGTTTGAACAACTAAAAGAAAGTTTCACCAAAGGAAGTCCAGACCTGTTCTCTATTACCTGGAATTATAAATTTAAGCTGTGAGAAGGCAGTTTTGGTTGAATGTTATAGGAAAAGATAATTCCTAACAGTAAGAGCATTTCAATGGTGGGGGGGGAGAGAAGAGAAGGAGGCACATCTTTTCTCTAAATGTGTCAAAGCAGGGCATGCTTTCATTTCCCACACTGAATGAAGGTTAGGCTACATATTCCAAATCACCTTATTGTCTGGATTCATAAGAATGACAGCTGACTTCCCAGACTGGGAATACTCATACTTTCATCTCAGGCAGAATCAGTACCAAAGGTATGACTTCTGTCACATAAAGAAAAAAAGCATGTGCCCCAGCCTTTTCTTCTCCTTCTCAAGAAAAAGCCTGGTGTTTTTTTTAAAGCGGTTGCAAGAGTTCTGATAAAAAGCTGGAATTATCATCTGAGGCCAGAGAAAGTCCAGAGGAAAACAGAGGACTTTGTTTTGGGATACCCCTAAGCAAAAAAGAAAACATTTAAGCAGAAGCTGTATTAATTGTTAATTTATTCTGTCTGTTTCTGTTTTAAGTTGAGTATTATTTATATCTCTACCCAAGCTCACTAATCCTGTCTTGTATGCATATAGCATATAGCATGTGTTATGATCATTTTTTCCCCCAGGAAATCCTCTGAGTTTATAGTAAAACTCGGAACTTGGTGAATTTATGATATGGTAGTACCATTACTGTAATTCCTTTTTAAAGTTTTTGCTGTCCATTGATTTGAGAAGCTCTGACTTTACCTCTTTCAAAATGTTAACATTTTAATATCTAATGTTTAAAAAGAAATTACAGTTATCATTTTTTTAAATAAACTTTGATTTTTGTTAAACTCTGGTATGTCTCCCAAGAAAGAGCTGAAATATCTTCCATATACCTGAGCATTATGTAACCAGCAGGCAACACTATGGCAGTTATTTGCCTTTTTATTTGCCAGAAAGGTTACAAAATATGGGAACCCTTTTTTTCTCTCACAAAAGGTTGGAAGAAACATCCCATGGGAGGTGCCATCTTAAAAGATGCATGTTAGCAGTAGGAACTACCAAGCCTCTAGGCAGAATAGAAGATAGCACCAGGGTGAAGACCCAAACCGTTTATAAGAAAGGACATTTGAGGCCTTCAGTCACCTTTACAGGTTCAACCCACTTTGGCCTCTTCCAATTTTGTAATTTTTACACTATAGATCTGGTTCTGCAGGAGATTTTCATCAGTATCTTGTCATGGATAGATTACTTACTTAGATGTGATTAGCTGGAGCTAATAATCTCTGTGGAGAAGAGGAACTGATTAAAGTAGCCTATCCCAGGTTCAATGTAGATCCAAAAGGTCCCCCCCCCCCGCCAAAAAAAATGGAGCACTATATTAGCCTCTGGAATTGCTTCAGAACAGCTATTTCCTGGCCACATCCTGTATAGGCCTTCAGTTCTCTGAAGTACTTCAGGAAATTAAGTATATGAAGTGATGGCTGGCGCAATAATGGCAGAAAATGAGAAGCAAGTATGCCTGGATATGGTTCTGAGCTTAAAATGGAGCCTGACTACATTTTTATCTTTATTGCATGTATGGAGTGTCATTCAGTTCCACTATTTAGAACATCTTGGATCTTGTTAGGGAAGGGCAGATCTGAAAAATTAGTTAGTGTAACTGTAATCATAGGTCCAAGCATTTAAGCGCCAAAAATACTTGCATTTGCTCCAAGTTGAACGCTAGATGGACAAAATCTATTGATGTGGCAGTAATGAAGTCTTGCAACGTGACCCAGGATGCTTTTTGAGCCTTTAGAACTCAAGGAAGTGAACAGAATTCTCTATAAGCACTGCCAGTTATGTATTAGACACTGTAACCCACCTGGCTGGTTAATGCTTTTTTGACAGAAAGGGTAGTTACCAAAGCCTTTAAAGAGGCTCTTTTCAACCCACTGCTCAAATCTAGATGGAACAAAATCCCACAACTATCATCCAATCTCCAACATCTCCTCTTTTTGAGGAAGGTTAAGAAAATGACTGAGCTGCAATTACAGAAGGTTCCACAAGATAGGGATTCTCTGGATCCATTCTATATTGGTCTGCTCATAAAGATCATTCAGAAAACTTCAGCTACTCCAGAATATAGTTCCAGTCATGCCATATTATATCAATGCTGCAAAAACTGCACTGGTTACCAGTGTATTTCTGAGTTCAGTGCATTGAGTAAAGGTAAATATGGCCAGGCCCTAGGTATCTAAGTCACCAACATAGCCAGGTAGATTTGGCCTATCCAATTCAGACAGCTAGGGAGAACCAACTAAGAGTGCCCACCTGTTAGTAGGGGATCCAACAGTGGGTGCTCTGTTGTGAGAGCTTCCTTCCTATAAAACAGCTGGCCTCTAAGTCAAATATAGCCTTCAGAAGCTGGAAAAAAGACCAATTTTCCAAAAGACTGAAATTGGCTTAGAAGCCATCAGCACCTGTTGTTTAATACCATGAAAGTCAGTCTCATATATTATGGTTCTGTATATCAGTACACCATCTAAGTTCCTCTGTACTAGAGAGGATTGAATGAAAAACAGTTTTAGATGCTCCCAGACAGCTTTATGCAGTGCAGGATGCATCTCAAATAATGGTGTTGGGAAGATGTGTTCAAATCAAGACCCTTTTTGGAATGCTTCATATACCAAATTGGAGCAGTAATAGTAGAGATCATTAAAGCTTTCTAAATTCTTATTTTTTCTGGATGCATTGTAGGTATTTGAAAAGAAGATGGCACAGAGTAAGGCTATATTAAAATTGCATTTTATTAAGAAAACAACCAAATTGAATGGCTTGGAATGTAAGACTTGGAGAATTTGTTCCTTTTGAAAGAAGAAAACCAATCACTGAGTTCTCTAGAACAGGGCTTTTCAACTGGTGGTACATGTACCACTGGTGGTACATTGGCACCTGTCAGGTGGTATGCAGCCCTGCCCAGCCCAGCCAAGTGTAGCGGGGGAGGGAATGAGCCAAATCAGCACAATGCAGGACTTGCCATGAGAGAGATTCTACAAACTACTAGTGCTGCTTGAGTAACCATGACTGTTGACCTCTAAAACCACACCAAAACTTTCCCTTTGTCTCTCATTTTGCCTTTACACCACTATCATTTTGCCATCTGAAAGGTTCTCTTTTTAACCCAAGCTTTTTAAAAACAATTGTTGATCAGTGTTCACTACAATGCATCCAGACAGAATAAGAATTTCCAAGAGCAGTCTCCAGTGCTATAATGAAGCTACCTTTTACAAAAGTGCTGCTTAAAGGTGTTTATCACTTCTCTAACAAGTGTTAAAACAATAAACCAGTCGATTCAGACTAATAGCCAGGTGTAATCTAAGCATTTGGGGGCTCATAAATATTGATTTGTAGATCCAAGTATCATGGCAGCCAGCTGCTGTGCCTACAGCAACAGAAACATTGTAAATATTTACAAAAAGGCTTGTCCTTTTTGAGGCTCTGGATAAAGAGCAACTGGAATACTTTTTTTATCCACCACAAATGTTCTTTTTTCTATTGATCCGGAAATTTGGTGATTGATGGCAAAAAGAGAACCATTCATGCTCTAGAGGCAATTTTTTTTTCTGTCAAAAGGAGCAGTCCCACAGGGCTGAGGTGTCAGAGGCTGATGGATGGAGCTGGAGCAAGCCAAGGATGAGGAAAGAAATAAGCCAGGTCTCTCTGGAGCCCCCCATCTTAGGGGTTTTTTTCATGCATTTCATAAAACTGAGGAAGCAGGCTGCAGTGAAGGAATAAATTGTTCTTATTAGTGGCTTCAACTGATCTCTTGCAGGATATATGGGTGGAAAAAAGGTGAGGTGCATAAAACAATTCCAAGGAGCGTAATTGCTATTACAGTTACCACAGGATTTATTGTTATTATGGTTATTATTATAGTGAGCCAGATTGCCAAAACTGCCCCTTCACGCCTGCACTTTGCTATTGCTTGATGCCAGTCTGCCATGAATTCTGGAGGGAGGGAGCTGGATGGGAGGGGGGAAGGTTTACTATTCACCTTACCTTCTGGAGACACAACTTCAAGGTCAGACAGCTGGGAATGGCATGCAGCTGCATACCGGCCAGCCCACAGTTGAAGAGACCGTTCTCAAAACACTGCATTCGAATACAATTGGACAATGGGTGACCAGCAGTGGGAGGTGCCGCGGGGAAAGGAAGTTACACTTTCGGATTTTAGTGCTCAAATTTCAGTTCTGGCTTAGCTCTACTGTAGCTTTCTCACTAAATGGAATCAAGGTACATTCTTACTTAAAGATTCAAGTTGAGGCAAGACTGACACAGATGTTTAGACTGGATTTGGCATTTTTATCCACCTATCAAGTCCTTCCCAAGGACCTGGGATATTACAAGTAGTCCTTGAGGTATGATTACAATTGAGCCCAAAATTTCTGTTGCTAAGCAAGACAGAAATTGTTAAGTAAGTTTTGCTCCATTTTATGACCTTTCTTGCCACCGTTGTTAAGTGAATCTCTGCAGTTGTTAAATTAGTAATCCAGTTGTTAAGAGAGCACCAAAAGCTCCACAGTTCAACCCTGAGCCACATATATTATCTTCCATTTTCTGTACCTCTTTGCTTTTATCTTTGTTGCTCATCTGGATATCATAATTCAGATATGGCAGCTTAGTAGTGTAGCAGCAACAGTGGCCCCTCTCTTATTTGCTTCCCTTTCCTTCAGTGCTGCTCCCCTACAATGCTACTACCAGGGGCTTGTGCAACCAGGTTCGTGTGCTTGCTTGTTTGAAAAACTGGAGACCTGCTACAAAGAGAAATTAAGGAGGAGCCCAAGGGCCCCTATACCTGCTGCTCCAAAGAAACTACTTCTGCCTTCACTATTTGTATGACCTTCTACTCCAGGGGTGTCAAATTCACAATGTCACGTAACATGTCGTGACATATTGCAACTTTTTCCCCATTGCTGGCAATAGGGTGGGCGCAGTTTTGCCATGATGCATCCAGCCCGCAGGCCGGCAGTTTGACACTCCTGCTCTATTCCCATTACTGTACAGTATTGTCATTTTTAGTACCAATGGAGAAAGGGGCTAATAATGTAATTAATGGTTAACAATATTCCTTTACGCAAAGACTTGAGGCACGCTGGGCCTTTCCTGAAAAAAGTATGTAGGGACTCTGTATTGCTCAAATGCTGAGTTTTTACCCAGCTAGAATGAATGTATAATACCAGACTCACTGCTCAGAAGATTTATCTGGGGTAATGGTTAAATAACTTGTGAAAGAATACCATTCAGGTTCCTAGTAGCAATGCTCAGATGTCCCACTATTCTCTTCTGTATTTAGAAACTGGTGTCTGTAATTAAAACTATTAACTCAAAATATATCATAAAACTGACCATGGGTATACTTTAATGGAGACTAACAACCCACTACTGATATCACAGCAAAATTTTGTGAGCCATAATCCAATCTTCTGATGATCTTTCCACTTCTTTACCAATATCATATATCACCCAAGGCCCCAAAGACATACTCACACACTACTTCTATTCAGAGTAGTAAGTCTTTCTATTCTCTGCATATTAACTTTTTTTTCCTTCTTACCAATAAATACAGGTAATGCGGTAAAGAATAAATTTGCTCTTAGATTGTCTGTTCAAACAATCTACTCTGGAATTGTTACTGCTTAAGTATGTTCACAAATGTTTCCATGGGTTTCCACCATAAAATGTAGTAAAACTGAAGCTGAAGAGTCAAGACAACATATTTGAGGTTTAGCCAGATA